TTGGGGAGGCCGGACTTGAGGTTACTTCCATCCGACTTAGGATCACATGCCCTAAACTCTGTGCTCGTCATTGTGGTTTAGGAGTTTTGGGATTTAGGGGTTTTAGGTTTTAGGGTTATCGTTGTGCCAAGATACCAAGACCTTCTTACCATCAAGTTCCTTGACGTCAGGATGTCCATCAAAGCATTTCCTGTTTCATTTCTGCGGATCTTTAACAGGGAGGTTTCGAGCTTCGTGAAAGCTCCAGGACCTTAAACACAGATTTGCCAAGCTTCCGAAGTTCTTAAAACTTAGGGGTTTTGTTCCGGGGGATGTTTGAACGTAAAGGATGCCTGCTTTTTTGTGGTCTTAGGTTTTAGGGCCCTCTGTTTCCTGAAAATCGCATACGGTGCTCATACCCAGACCTGCAAGGCCTGCTAATCCCAACCTTCATACCAACACCCTAAGGGTCCATGTACCCATATAGAGATACATGGGCCCCAAAGTACCCAAATAGGGACTACATTAAGGCCAATGTATATACTGTATGAGTACATGGACCCTTCGGGACATCTCTAAACCCTGAAACCTTAACCTTCAACCCACAAATCTGCCGTACTGAACCTACAAGCACTAGAAACTGAATTCAAGAATGACTTCAGTTGCCCGGCCCCACTAACCCAGCTACTAACCTGTGCACAAGCTTCAAGCTTGGAAGGCTAAAGAAATCTTTTCGGGATCCTTACTGTAACCCCTATACACACGCTACAGCCTCCCCCCGACGACGAACAGGACCATGAGGAGAGCGCAACATGAGACGAGAGGAGGCCACGAAAAGAGACCACCAGGATACGAGAATACCACCCCGAGAACACCTGCAGGAGACTATGAGGAGATCACCAGGACCTTGTGGCCAAAATGCATTTCCCCAACTACTGGTGGGGTACACAGGCGCGACCACAATGGCTTCCCTCCCTATGCTGGTGGGATTCAGGAGGACGGTCAAAATACTGGCCCCCAATAGAAGTGGTGGGATTCCGAGAAGATACCGTTGCAATGACAGTCTGGCCTTTCGGGGACACGAACGGATCGTGTGAAACACGGGACGTGAGCGAAAGCTGAAGATGGTGCCAGCGGGAGCCGCATCCGAGGGAACTCTTGCCGAGCGTGCCTCGTTAGAGCCCACGCCGACCACATCGCGTTACGCTTTAACCTAAACCCGTATGATTAAGTTCTAAAACTCTAACCCTGAACCACTAGCCCTGACCACTAAACCCTATAACACCCTAAACCCCAATAAGAACCCACCAAAAATTGGAAAATGCCCCTAATTCCACCCCTAAACCTCTTAACACCCTAAACCCCTAAAAAAACTCCCCCCACCCACCCCCACCCCCCCCCCAAAAAAAAAAATAAGGAACATGAACACGGGTCTGGTCCTCCAGTGCGCGATGCGGTCTTCGGGAAAGGCCATCGGATCCCAGGTCTTTTCGCCTTTTTCTTTGCTGTTTTTTTTTTGCACGACCCTTTTCCGTCTCGAGGGTTTAGGGTGGGGCTTCGGGTTTAGGTTTAGGGGTCTAGGGGACTAAGGGGGTTTTGGGGGTTTCGGGCTCTATTTAAGGTTGTTAAGGCTTTTTTGTAAACTTTCGGGTTTAGGTTGGGGTTCAGGGGCTTAGGGGTTACCTTCTTTAGGGCTTGCTTTTGCTTTGCGCCAAGGGCTTCTAGGGCGTTCAAGGCGGTTCGGCCAATTTCTCCCATAGGTTGTTACGGCAAGGGATTTTTGAGGCGTTCAACTTGGTCTTCAGGGTCTTTTGGGTCTTAGGGTGGTTTTGTTGGAGTTCTGCGGCCGCTCCCTACCTCAACCAACCAGAACCTGCCGTTCAACTTTCGGTAGGCCTAAGCTCTTGGGCCCTTAAAACTGCATCTTCATCATCGCCACCAGGGGCCGCAAACTTGTTGTTGCGTCTGCTGCGGGGGGCTGACTGCAGTTGCTTGCATCTGCATCTTACCTATAGTCTCCATTGTAGTTCCTTTTTTTGGTTAACCAATTTTATGGCTAGGATCCTATAATAGAGTTTTTGGTTAACCAAAAAAAGGAACTACAATGGAGACTATAGGTACTACTCGCGCCTGAGAAACTCCACAACCGTTGAACTAGGGATTATCGCCCTGCCAGGTGCAGGCTGAGGGATCGGTGACATGGGACGCTTGATTATGGAAACTTGCAGAAAGCTCAGATGCACACGCCCTCCCCCCACCCACAACCTCATAGAACCGACAAGTAAATCATGAAGCCCATAGTAAATTGCTGATGAACCCGTCGGGAACCCATGCAGATATCCCGCCCTCAACCCCCGCCACTCACCCCAAAGAAGCCTTCACTGACAGACAGGGACTCCATCTTCTTCGAAACTTCCTCGTCGCCCATGGCTCCACAAAGGCCCTCTCAAATCAAGGAAGCGAGCAACCGACAGCTCATTGGAACTCGAAATATGCAAGCTCCTAACCTGCTTTTAGGGTTTAGGCTAGGGGTTTTCGAGACTTGCAGCCCTCAATCCTAAACCCTCGAAGCCCGAATTCCTCTTCCGTCGACCTAGGGAAGTGCGGGCGCATTTTCAGGGCCTTGTCGGCTAAGCTGAAGATCCAACGCTGCGTCAGAATATGATATACAAGAATACTGCAGGGCTTCGTAGGGGTTTTAGGGTTTCATATATGGATCTGAATCTATCATGGGCCTTGACTTATGATTTCCTTGGCCACCTTCTCCGCAGCCGCCGACTAAACAAGCCAAAGCGTGCTGGATACCTTCGGCCTCTTCGACAAAAACACGCCACAGTTACCGGAATACATGTTGAACTTCCAATACTTCCGCGCTCTGTTCAGGGCATCGCGTTCTTCACTCTCGCTTCAATTACCGTCGACATGGGCCTGGTTGCCCAGCGTGTCAGGCCCTCGCCTGAAGTTGATAAGCTCTACTGGGCTGCGCCTTAAACCCGTTGAAAATTATTTATGAATAGGTTCCCTTTATAAGGAAATAGGGGAAATTTAAAATTCTATCATTTTGAATTTTCCAGGACCCCGCAATGGCCCTTTAATAGAGCCCCAAGGGTTCTTTATGGTGGGTATTTGGGGTAGAATAGAGGGTAGGGTCGTTCCGGAATGCCGGGCTCAAGAATCTGCGTCACCACAATACAGCAACTCAAACTCCTAAATCCCAAACGCTCGAACCCTATAAAGCCCATAATGCCTAAAGGACTGCGTCCTGAACACCAACCCACCATCAACCATTTGAGTCCCCTAGGCCTTGAATGAATCCCGAAATCTTCCAGGCCGTAAACCCTAAACCCCCGACCCCTAAATTTACCTTCGGTTAGTAGGGAATGGAAGAATGGTACTTGGTAGTAATAGTAGTTATAGTTGTACCCCATTCCTCCATTCCCCACTAGCCAAAGGTAAATTTAAGGTTCCCTATAGCTCCCTTATAAAATCCCTTCTAGATCCCTTAAAGGATCCTATACTACTAACCAAAGGTAAGCAAACCTCTAAAGCCTGGAATCCTCCAAGCTGGGGCAACAGCGGAGCCGGTTGGCAACTGGCAGGCTGCCCGAAGGGTTGCCTCCGAATTCTGAACAGGGTGATCTTGCCTAAAACCTGAAGTCTTATCGATGATTCGAGCAGGGTTCGGGACAGATTTAGGGACGAGTTTGGGGAAGCCCTGCCCCCGGATAAACTTTAAACCCTTAAACCCAAACCCCCTACCCCTATAAACTTCCAAACCAAGAACCCTAAACACCTAAACGCTGTACTCTAAACTGCGGAGTTTCGCAGCTGAGGCCGAAGCACAGCCCACACCGCAGCCGAGCTCAAGAACAACCTTCGGCCTGGATGTCCAAGGATTGGGCTCAAAATAAAGGGGGGCCTTCAACAAGAAAATGACAAACATGATGATCATAAAAGCAAGAATATACACATATATATGGGAGTTTCCGAAAAGTAGTGGTATCTCATTTTGGGTCCTTACAAAAAGGATCCTATTTTGGGTGCTATGTTATGGGGTCCCCTATTGTCGGAAACTGCCATATATTTTTTTTTATGTATATGCGGTTTCTGGGTATCTTTACAGCATACCTTTGCAAACCTACGTGTGGACACATGTTAAGTACCAGAGTTTTGGGGTATAAGTTGTGGTATGTTAGTGTTGGGAACTCTCCAAGCTTCTATACTAACTTACGGAGTGGACGTTCTGAATCCGGGATCGTACATGAAGGGTCCAGAAAATCGAAACCTGAAAGTAGCTTTGAACTAGAACGACTAATTATAGGGATTGAGAATTAGAAAAGGGCTGTGAGGTATGGTGCAGTACATGCATGACGAGGAACCATAAGGAAGAGTGTTACTGTTTACTTCAACCCCTGCATTATCACCGTGTCCACATGTTCCGAGCTTCCTTGTTGCGTGGCTTCAGTGTTTCTTTCTCTACATCCTGGTTTTGTAGTTAACCGCACGTGGTGTCTCTGTCCCTAAGGCCAGAAGCTTGAATCGAAACCGTGAACCCGATGCCCGAAACCCTGATCCCGAATCACGATGCTGAAGGGAACTCTGAGGGCACGGCCCATCGGGCAAAAGCCTCAAAGCAGCATCAACGATGGCCCCACCTGAGAATGGGGTTTGGGTTCGGATTTACTTGGATGTAACTTAAGTTACCATAATAGGGATCTATAGGAAATAACATGGTTTCCTCACTATGGTAACTTAAATTAACCAGAGAGTCTGCCAGATCGTCATACAAGCTGTTGCCCTAGTGCTCGTTAGGGCAGCTGATGGGAGTGTCAGAATAGAAGGTGCTACATTGAATGCCACGCGCATTCCAGTTCGCAAAAACACTGAACCTCCCGGCAACCCCAAACCCCGACAGACATGTCTCTCGATCGGACCCCAAATGCACAAACCAGAATCTCAGAGCCGAAAATCCGATACACGACAGCCCTACAGCCCTTCAACCCGGAACACACTAACCTGCCTTAGGTCTCTCTCAGCGTCCGACGGATGCCGACTCCGATGCCCAGCGCCTCTGCTGCCTCCGAGGACTGTGCAGCCTCCTCCTGTGACAAAAGTATCGGGCTCATCGCTCTTTGATTCCTTCATGAAGCCTAGATGTTTTCGGGTTCCTGATTATATATTCCTTTATATAGACCGTAATCAGGCAAGTTATCGTGGTGAGGATTATACGGCTCTGGGTTAACGGCTTAAAGTTTAGGGCTCGAGGTCTTGGGATTATATGTGGGTTTTAGGAATATAGGGTGTGGATATATCATAAGCTTGCAACTCTTTCGATGAGGCTTTGGCTTACTACATACATACATTAAACTACGATCGTCTACGTCTTGACAGCCGCCTCAAGGCTCGATAAAAAAGAAAATAACGAAACGAACTAAAGTCGAAACCGACTGTTATGCGGCTCCTGCTTCCCTCGGGGATTCAAGACTTGGGGCTTCGCAACCTTAGACCCTAAAAAAACCGAAACCCCAAACCTTAAACCCTGAAGCCCCAAAGCCTAAAGCCTCAGCCATGTGAACTGCGAAGTCGATACCTGTCATTAGGGATTCCGGTCTGTCGGGACACTACGCCTTACCTGTCATAGTAATAGTAGTAGGAATAGTAGTAGTAGTAGTAGTAGTAGTAGTAGTAGTAGTAGTAGTAGTAGTAGTAGTAGTAGTAGTAGTAGTACTAGTAGTAAAGTAATAGTAATAGTAGTATAGTAATAGTAATAGTAATAGTAATAGTAATAGTAATAGTAATAGTAATAGTAATAGTAATAGTAATAGTAATTGCAGAGTCCAGAAGGACCGTTAGGTGCTTCGTTTGAGGGCGTAGATGTGCGCTTTGGCTGCTTGGTGGGATGTAAGTTCAAACGAGGCCAGTAGCAACACCGAAGCGATTTTGCAGTGAAGACCTGTTGTACAAGCTTTTCTCTAGAACCCCAGTCTCTGCTTTAAACCTTGCACCTTGAATTCGCAAGCCCTCACCACGACGCCATTGCACACAATGCGAAAATCCGGGGCCTGGAGGCACACCCCCTTAGAGGTTGAGTACCCTAGCCCAAAAGAGAATTGCCTTTTAAAACTATGGTGGGATTATATGAACTCAGCTACAAACCACCTTAAGAACATGGATGAAGCCTTCTGCCAACACACACACACATACACTCGCCAACGTTGCCTGCAGAGCCCTACAAACAAAAACCGTTCAATAATCGAAGTCCCCAATGCCCTGCTCCATGTACCCCTGAAGCTCAAACTTAAGGCTTAAACCTGAACGCTATAGACACCTAAACCTCAAATTCCTAAACCCCTGAACCCAAAATCCAACACCCAAATACCTATGAACCCTAAGACGCTAACCCCTGCACGCAACCCTTTAAACCCTAACGGTGTAGATCGGGCTTCGGGCAATAACGCTATAGGATATACAGTATATTGAGGGGCAGCCGTCTCAAGTTTCTCATTCCCAGCACTTTTTCTCAGTTACTTGTTTGTTCTTCCTTTTCTTAGTCAGATCATCATCATTGCGTATATCACCAGCGACACCATTGGACCATTGCTCCACTACGGCCATTGCACAGAACCGCGGCAGCTGCTTGGATTTGCATGGTGGCGACATGAAATTGTGGAACTTCGCGGTCGAACTCTGAGCATGGAGGTCATGGCCTGGTTTTGCAAGGCTGCGTAAAGCAAGCATTCATCCATATTCATCTTGTAGACTCTCACAACCTTTCATCCATATTCATCTTGTAGACTCTCACAACCTTTGCGGGATCAAGCTATGTCGGTTTAGGTTTGTCACCGGCAACATCGGCATCTCGGCCGTCATCAGCAGCATCGCCATGACCACCATCAACATCAGCACCAACATCAGCACAATCATCGTCATCATCATCACCTCCATGACGTTCACACCGTTGTGATATTCGACGTTGCCAAGCAAGCCCAACCATCGTACAAGCACCAGGACAACCCATGAAAACTTGTGAGTTCGGACGTCAGTTGCAATCACAAACAATGCCAAGCATGATCTAGGAAGCTAGGGTAGTGCGAATGTTCCGGTAAAACGTTACAATACCAGCCCAAATGGCTCACATGTGTCAGCTCACACATCTAAAACAGATTTCAGCAACTTGTTGCATGTTGTTGCGTGAACTGGTGTAGGCTTGCTACTTGCTATGTAAAACAATGAAGGTTATGGGTCCCTGCTGGTCGGCATATGTTGAACAACCCCGACCATGAAACTAAATGCCCGACCCCACGACCTTTAACCTCCTGGGCCCCAACGCTAGCCGCTAAGGCAAAACCCCAAAGCTCACAGCCCAGAGCCCTAAACCCGCAACTCCCCAACCTCAGATCCGTATGCGCATAGCCTGACCGCAAAGAGCCCAAACCAAAAAACTCCAAGCTCCAAACATCAACGATCTAGAGCCTCGGGTTGAGGTTATTTTGGCATGGTCCACGCCTGCGAACCGTGCATTGCATCCGCAGTCGACGTGCGATAACGCAAAAAAAGAACCTCAACAGCCTGAACCAAGTTCCGTAGCCTACTCAAGCGTGATAATGGGCACCAAAAGGCAGATTAATCCCAATTCAATCAAATTTTTGACACCTGTCTACAAACTCGCAATTTTCAAACACGAGCCCTGAATATCCCCCAAGACACCGATCTTACAAATTGGCTAGAAACTAGCTATGGATCGCAGCAGAGCCCACTCTTAACGCCTGAACCCTGTATAACTAGGTTCACAACAGCCCTGAACAACACGGGTACCCTTTTTGCTAACATTCGGCTTCAAAACGGGAAATCAAAAAGAAGAAGTGCCAAAGCGTACTACTGGGGAACCTAGGATGCCCTAAACCCTTAAACCCCCGAACCCTGTTACCCTAAATCCTGAAGCGGCTTAGGGGTATTACTAGGGATCCCCTAGATAAGCACCCAGACCTTCCAAAATCCTTCAATTAAGGAATATATCTTAAATCATATTAAGAATCCTACTATAATTTAAGGGATATTCTTTACTTAAGGGATTTTGGAAGGTCTGGGGATAGGCACAAGGTCCTGCAACCGGGAACAGCCCCAACCTCGGCGAGTCGCAGAAGCTGCGGAGCAGAGAACCCGGACTGCGCGCATAGCCTTCGAACCTGAACGGTTTGGGGTTTAGGGTTTAGGGTTTAGGGTTGAGAGTTTGGGGGTTGAGAAGTGCGGGGTTTAGGGTTTAGAGGTGTAGGGTTTCGGGCTTAGGATTTAGGGGTTAGGGTTTCGGGCTTAGGATTTAGGGGTTAGGGTTTCGGGGTTTGGGGTTTGGGGAGTCCTTTCAAGCCCCGGACAAATGGTCGAGTCGTAGAAAACATCCTTTTTTTGCCGGTAAAGGAGCCGTTAAAGGAACCCTTAAAGCCTTAAAGGAGCCCTTAAACAATCATTAGAGGAACCCTTAAAGTTACCCTTACAGGAGCCCTTGAAAAAACCCTTTAAAGGAGCCCTTAAAGGAGCCCGATAAGAGCAAACATGAAACATCCCAAAGACCTTCGAAGCTGATGGTCTTAGTCTTGATCAGAACACTCGGTCCTGTGTATGAATACATACATATATATATATACACATACATACATCTGTGTATATACACATGCCCGCCGTAGGCTTAGACTCCTGGCACAAAAAGATGGAACACCTTGTCCTAGCACTCGGAAGGCACATGAGACTTTTCAGGGTTTAGGATGGTTTAGGGCTTGTAGGTTGTGCATTTTTATTTCCATGTAGCCGCTATTAAAAGACGATGCTGCGACGAACTGAAACCTGCAGAACGTCCCAAAGCTGCCCGAACCTTGCAGCCCAAACATCACCACTTGATCGATCTCAAGCCAATACCCTTCGGTTCAAGGGTCATACAGCGGTCTGAAGAGGTAGAAGAAGGTTTCATGGTATATTCTCGGGGCTTGAGTCAGTAGAATGTAGAATAGGTTTCAGGATATATGCAATACGGTATGGCGGAGAGTCTAAGCGCCAAGCTAGGGACAGCTCGAAGCCGCACCTGGGGCAGAGTCGGGTTTCGGTTTAAGCGCTTGATCTAATCTTAAGGGTCGGAATAGGAATTAGCAGTACTATTCCTTAAGGTTCCATAAAGGAATGGTTGTACAATAAATCACCCAAACCACTACGCTGAAAACCCTAAACCCTAAACCTAAACCACTACACGGAAAACATCAGATGTAGGTGTCGTCCAGAGTTTAGGCTTTGAGGTTTGGGGTGTATCTGTCTGTCAAAGGTCCGAATGCTGATCCTAGTCTAGCCGAAAGCCTTAACGGCAACACCGAACCGTGAAAGGCTAATCCTTGAACCCTAAATCCTTAAACCCTACATCCCTAAATCCATTCCTAAAGTGACTGAGCACTGTGTCCAAAGGTAGGTTTCAGGATTCAACATAGCTAATCCCCCCGCCCTCAAGGTTTAGTGTTGGGCTCTCAGGCTTGTAGGGTCTCTCTATAAGGTTTATGGGTTGCAGTGTTTAGCGTTAGGGGTCTGGCTGTACGGTGTAGGGCTCCTATAAGGTTCAAGGTTGTAGGGTTTAGGAGCCCCCCCAAAAGGTCCTCCCCCAAAGCCCTAAACCCCAAACAGCTTATATTAGGACCCCCCCCAAAAGGTCCTCCCCCAAGGCCCTAAACCCCCAAACAGCTTAGAGAGCTCAGTTCGGCACTCTCCGCGGGACCAGTCGCGGCTTTCCGGCTCGGGGCGGAGCCCAACCTTTGGACCAGAGAACCCGATCATTGTTTGCAGTGGGTTCTAGGGTTTAGGGATCTTTCGACGCAACTTTTCCCGATCATTGTTTGTTAGTAGAGGTATGCAACTCAGCAGTATTGAGGGTATCTCTCATATCAAGGATGTCCCTTGCTCTCGCTCTGTCTCTGTCTCTGTCTCTGTCTCTGTCGCTGTCTCTGTCTCTGTCTCTGTCTCTCTCTCTCTCTCTCTGTCTCTTTCTCTCTGCTCTCTATTCAAACCAAATTCGAGAATCCGGTGTGGGGCTCTCTGGGTGGATTTCTTCGAAACTTTGGCTTAGGGCTGCAGGGCCCGAGGACAACGCGCCTGGTGTTTCGAGCTTCAGGCTCCCGTGTTTGGGATGAGGTGTGGTCTTCCATAGCACTGATAACAATCGTAGTAGCATAGTCATGGCAATGGTGATAATTAGTAACAACTATATAGCAATGATACTACTAGTGACAATAACACCAATAAGAATAATGATAATAATAATAACAATAATAATGATCATAATAATCATAATGATAAACAAGGATCTTAATCAGACAATATATTGGGCATGGATCGTGGGATTGGGTCCAGCTTGAAGCCGGGAATTTCCCCTTGTCGGTAGCCAAAACAAAAACACTGCAGAATCTACGTAGGTTCCAGTAAGATGAGATCAGTGCGAGGTTGACGGTTTGGGGCTTAGGAGACTGTATACGAGGGAAACAGCAGCCCCAACATGGCAGAGTCCACCGATGATGATGCTCTTCCGAGTAATTGGCACAATGGTTGCGATTCTGTGGTGCCAGGAAATTAGGAGTACACCTTGGTCATAGAGACCTCATACCAGGCATCCAAGTATTGAGGATGTGTATGGCGGCCGCTTCCTTTCTGAAAGTGCCCGATCGCTCTCGAGAAACGAATACCTGGCATAGTATGGGAGTTTCCGAAAATAGGGCACCCCAATATAGCACCCTGAATAGTAGGATCCTTATTATAAGGACCTCAAAATAAGGTACCCCTATTTTCGGAAACTCCCATATGACGTTTGTGTTGAATGGGATTCCCCACCCGGCTGCGAAGGAAGTTGGTCACGGAGTCGCACTCTGCCTGCAAGCAATCGAAGGGTTTCTAGGTTTGGGGTATGAGCTAAGCAGGAAGCCGCAAGAAGGCATGTTTGCGTTGAGAGCCTTGAGAGCACCCAAACCCCCCAAACCCTGAACCTCCAAACCCCTGAGCCCTAAACCCTAAGACCCTGAACCCTAAGCTCCCAAACCCTAAGCCTCTAAAGCCGTAAACCTTAAGGTTTACGGACCCGAAACCCCGAAAAACCCGAAGCTCCCAAACCCTAAGCCTCTAAAGCCGCAAACCTTAGGGTTTACGGACCCGAAACCCCGAAAAACCCGAAGCTCCCAAACCCTAAGCCTCTAAAGCCGCAAACCTTAAGGTTTACGGACCCGAAACCCCGAAAAACCCGAAGCTCCCAAACCCTAAGCCTCTAAAGCCGCAAACCTTAGGGTTTACGGACCCGAAACACCGAAAAACCCGAAGCTCCCAAACCCTAAGCCTCTAAAGCCGCAAACCTTAAGGTTTACGGACCCGAAACCCCGGAACAACCCGAAGCTCCCAAACCCTAAGCCCCTTTGGCGACTTCCGGGTTCCGGGTTTGAGAAGTCTGGGAGAGAGCCTGGCCCTCTCCCCCAAAACATCCCGGCACCCAAGAGGGTTGTGTTTAGGGTTTAGGGGTCTAGGGTTTAGGGTTTTAGAGATTTGGGTTTGGAGTTTGGGTTAGTTATACGGTTTAACGAACATCCATCGGATCGGAAACCTGGGCAGAATTGAGAGAAAGGTGCTGTTGAAAGCAACGGGCTGTAGGACCCCTGACTAAAGAACCAGATCTTTACAACTGTAAGCCCTACACTGATATCCGTTTTCCCTGAGCCGACTGCGATGGATAATTTGAGACCCGACGCCAGAACCAACCAGAAGCAGTTCTCACAAACCGACGAGGCCTCCCAATGTACAACGCGCTTGCTGTTGGCATTGTTGAAGCAGTAGCTATTGAAGCATACTCGACCATTGCCTCTTCCACCAGCAGGTTCAGCGCCCATCTGCTAAGATCCGGCCGAGACAGGGAAAGACCCCTGGCCTCGGTTGATGTCGTTGACTTATTCAAAGGGGAAAAGGAGGGACCCTTAATGGGGACTCTTTAAAAGGATCTATAGGGATTCTATAAGGGTATAGTACGGTATAGGGTTTAGGGTTTAGTAGGGGAAAAGAAGGGACCCTTAATGGGGACCCCTACCCTATAATGGGCTATACAAAGGGTATATAATAGCTATATTAAGGGTCTATACCTAGGGGTCCTCATTAAGGGTCCCTCCTTTTACTCTTGGACTTTTGGGCTGAGTACCTACCTTAGCCCCGATTAGGGTTGAACTTTTCCATTACTCTTACCCCCTTAGAACAATAGTATTCTTAATATTCTCTCGGGTTTTAGATGAACAGAAACAAAATAATTCCCAGGGAGACTATGGATTATGGTAGGGTTATATAAATACAAACCCCAAAAAGGTTGAAGGCTACCTACTGAGCCACGAAGTTGCAGCAAAGGTCGGTGGGTTCATGAGCCGGAGCAAACTTCAAGTTGGGTCACATCAGAAGGCAGGAAACTGTAGCTATGCACACAAGGATATATAGCCGAAACCCTAAACCCTAAACCGTAGAACCCTAAACCCTAAACCGTAGTATTCAATGAGATACATGCCCCAAGCCCTTGAACACCTCAACCAGAGATCTTCCGGCATCGAATATGGGGGCGTTAACAAGTAGAATAGGGTTTTAGGGTAGATTATACTATAACCATAATGAGGAACCCTGAACACAGTATTGGGGTAGATTATACTATAACCATAACGAGGAACCCCTAAAACAGTATTGAGAACTGTTTAGGCCCTATATATTCATAATCTGCAACGCCGCTCTGGTTGGGTAACTTGGCTCCCCACGGCTGCAGCATTGAGCACCTGATGTTGAGCGATGGATCCCGTCGTTTCTTCCGACGTGGAACGCTTACGGTTTAGGTTTTAGGGTTTTAGGGTTTAGGGACTTGGTTTGTGTAGGGTGGTGCGCGCGGCAACAATCTCGACATCTAAACCTCAGAAGTTCAGGCTAATGCGTCTGAACAGGAGCTTGCTCAATTTAGGACCAACACAAAAACGTTCTGACGGCAGGCTTTTATGCCTTGAAATCACACGCGCCATGAAGCCTTTCCTAGCAGGATCGGGTTTTGCATAAGCCGGAACTTTACCGCAATTTACGGTTATAGGTTCACGAGTCTGGGATCTGGCTGCTCAGGCAACAAGGCTGTGAGGCAGTCTCGTCCGTAACCCTCTCCTTCGTGAACGTCACCGGATTCCGTTCGAGTCACCGACGACCGAGTCCCAAGAAAAGAACATGACACGGCTGAGATTGTTATGTCTGCTTTTCGCAGGCATCAATAGGTGTTTTGTTTCACAGGTTGTTTCACAAACCTGTGAGTCGAGATCACTGAACCACTGAGGCAACAGCGACCGTACTTCGCGGCACACCGTCGCAGTTATCTGCCAAGCCTGCGGATGTTGCAAGGCCAAGTCTAGCTCATGCGACTGAAATAAATCCAAAAGCCGCTGGGGAGGAATCGACCCTGAATCGAAAACCCATCGGGCGCAAAATTACATCCCACAACGTGCCCCCTTACCTCTAATCTCGACCGTATTCCCAAGCCCCCAAAATTGAAAATTTGTACCTGGCTGGAACCTGTTTCTCTCTAGCGCCCCCCGGCAAGTCTGCATCGGCGCACGATCTGAGGCTTTGCACAGCATACGTGCCAAGACGCCACGCTGCACATTCAACTCTACTACAAGCCTGTCGGAATCCGAAGAAGACCTACTCTTCATTTCCTAAACTCTAGAAGCACCGTAGTTGAACCAGCAATCCAAACCCAGAACTGTCCGGCAAGCACTCTACAACCACAACAAGCTTACGCCCAGACCCCAAAGCCGTGAATCCTAAACCCCCAAGACTCCGGGTCTGACCCAACCGTAAGGGTCCATGTACTCATATAGTATATACATTGGCCTTAATGTAGTCCCTATTTGGGCACTTTGGGGCCCATGTATCTCTATATGGGTACATGGACCCTTAGGGCAGGTCACCCAGAGCACCCCGACCCCGGCACAACCTCAAGACCTCAGAAAGCCCGGAAAATGCTCGAAGATCCGTCTACACCTGAAGCGGGTTCAGGCTTTAGTATTTTTTTATGCCGGGCTCAGCACCCTAAGCCCAAACCATAAACAAACAACAATCAAATGGCCCTAAGACTCCATGTACCCATATAGTAGGCACTTAGGCCTTAAAGGGGTCCCTATATGGGTACTTTAAGGCCTAAGTATCTACTATATGGGTACATGGAGCCTTTGGGTGGCCCATAATAACCATAAACCCTAAACCCAAAACCCTAAACCCTAAACACAAACAACAATCACATGGCCTGCCCAAGCTTTCACCTCGAGCTCCGCATCACCGGCGCCCGCGGCACCACAGAGCCAGGCGGCCCAGGCCTGTCTACGTTCGAACTACCCTACTTGGAAGGGCAGGGGACTTAGTAAGTATAGGTTATAAGTAGAGTTATAAGTACCCTAAATGGAGTTACCCCAATTATAACCCTACTTATAAGCTACTTACTAAGTCCCCTGCCCTTCCAAGTAAGGGTCCATGTACCCATATAGAGATACATGGGCCCCAAAGTACCCAAATAGGAACTTCCTTGAGGCCAATGTATATACTTTATGAGTGCATGGACCCTTAGGGCTAGCGCGATTGCATGGAGGTGAGAGCTGCTGGCAACGCTTGGCTAAGATGTGTCCTAGGTCATAGTCGTCATAGTCCCCTAGGCAGTACAGCTCTGCTGAGTTTTCTCTCAAAAGAACACTCTTTGTGCCCTTAACGGGGTGATAGTGTATGGCCCCCAAATAGTAGGTATGTAGGGTCGAAGAGAGGGTAGATGGAGGGTCTAGGTGCTCTGTATTTCTTTAACTGATCGTTAGATCATGATGTTCATTCTTCGAGGGGGCACCTTTTCTGAAGTGAGCAGGCTCTGAGGGCATGGGAGTTGAGGACAGCTCAACTTCAGCTAGTCGAGAGACATGTACAAATACATATATGCATACATGTATAGATAGAAAGAGACAGACTACTGACTTCAAAGAGGGAAGACTGCTACTGATTAAGGCTGCTATCCTTCACTGCTTTTACTTTCAGCAAAGCTCGAGATTTCAGCTGCTTGCGCGCAGGTTGTGTGTGTATGCCATCTGACAACAACCCACCATAGTTTGTGGAGGCGATAAACACTTCTTGTGAGATTCCAGGTAGATGCCTTCAAATAGGAACGGGCTCTGACCAGTGCCCAAGAACGATCTGCAACCCGCATCCTGGCACAACATCATGCATCCATCCACCCACTCGCCACGACCTCATGGTTGCCTCATGCCTCTCAGCAGCAAGCCCTAATACCGAAACTCATCGGTTTAGATTCTCCAGTCAAGTGGCATTGTAAGGTCCAGAGATCCCACCATCCAAAGCATGGTTCTCAAAGCAGCTCCGAACATACACCAAAATCGAAGCTTTCAGCCTGGCTTTGTTGTTTAAGGGTTTAAGGGTTTAGGGTTCAGGGGTTGGGGTTTAGGGTAATGGGTTCAGGGCTTAGAGGTCCCAACATGTCTGCCTCTGTTCCCACGCAGACGTTGCCCAACGCCTCAAGCAAGGAGCAATGACAGGGGCGAATATGAATTGGGGCTGAATACCATACATGTCATCCCAGCACTTCCTCGTACTCCAAGTCCTCCGCCAACGAAAGACATGCTAGTACTACGAAAACGTCATCCTCCTGCTGTAGCAATAAGAGCATGCGCAAACTTCCCAAATCCCAGTTTGATCATTCAGGTCTCCGCTAGTCTGGGGGTTCCTTAGTGTAACTATGTTCCTTAGTGTAACTATGGTATAATATACCCCAACACCATACGTATTCTAATTTGTAATCTATACCAAAACACGTCTTTGTCAGGTGGCCCCTGCTGGCTGAGTCGCCTTGTTGACGAAGGGCCCGCGGCGGTTTAGGGTTTAGGGCCTAAGGGCTTGGAGTTTGGGAGTTAGGGGTTCAGGGTTTCGGACGTAAACGTGCAGGGTTTTGGGGTCCAAACCTCACCGGACAGCTGAGTCCAAAGAACGAAATCAGAAGGGGCCTCTAACTCACGGAGGCCGCTAGCAGTAAACAAGCCTCGAACCAGCGTAAGCCGTTGCAGGTCCTGTACCCCACTAGATTAAACTCACTGAACTCTGAATCCTTTAACCTCAAACCACTCCGTGTAATTATACAGATCCCAACAACCTGCAAGCACGAAGCTCTTAAACATCTTAAACCCTAAGCGGTGAACAACCTCCTAAATCCTAATCCTTCATCCTAAGTCCCCCAAACCCACTGACCTGAAAGCCCAACGAAGGCTGCCTCGCACTCATCCAAAAGCGAAGAGGCTGCGCCGGATAGTCCCAGGTCCTAAGCGGGTAAAGAATAGGGGTTAGAGTTTATAGGGGTTTAGACATTAGGGTTTAGGAGAAGAATATGGTACAAGTTGTTCTGCTTGTGTTGTTGTCTGTGTGAGCTTTCCACTCTTCAGGGTCTATAAGGCTATAGGGGAAAAAGGACCGTCAGAAGTTTTTTTTTATAGACTCTTGATTGGAATCCCTTCCTATCTGAATGAGGCCATGCCTGTATGGGTGCATGGGGAGTCTTTGCATACACCGCCATGTACTCTGATTCACAGATTACATCAGGAACTGGCTTAAGGGAGTTGGGGGGTTGAGGGGGGTTGAGGTTTTCGGGTTTGGGGTCTTAGGGTTTTGGGGTTGCGGGGCTTTGAATCATCGAGTTCAGGGGGGCTTATCAGGTTTAAGAGCTTGCCCGTGGATATCCACAACTCTTATGCGCACGAATGGAAATCTTGTAATTTAACTTGGATCAGTACTCCCAGTGAAGTAATAGAGGGACCTTGCTTAGTTAGAATGCGGTTCGGGGGTACGTTCTGATTCAACTGTGTACGGAATGCGAAGGAATACCATGACCAATGCTAAGGTCCCCTTCATACACGCTAGCCCACCAGCCAAAAGCCTTTCGGGTTGATCCGGGGTCCTGTCCCGTGGTTTACGGCGCTTCAAGTCTTGGCACTGGCGATTTCGGGCTGCTTTGATGGGCTCTGAACCCTCAACGCCTATATCATCCACACTTCTTCCATTCGCTTCTATTGAACCCAAAACCCTAAAGCAACAAATCCTAAATTAAGCCCCTTGGCACCCTGCATACATGGAGCGAACCACGGCAGCAATGTTCTGGCCTCCAGTCAAAGCTTCGGGTGTTGAAGAACCCAAGAATCTGGACTCACTCTACAAGATACTTGAACTTCTCACTAGCTACATGGATTGTGAGGGTCACCATGTTGACGTGACGCTGCTATTTGGGAGTTTGGGAGTTGTCTGGTTCGCACTCAGAGACTCCAAGTTGGCTTGAGGTGGCTGACCAAGAGACTGCAATATCCCTTTAATTGAGGAATATACCCTAATATATAGAAGGATCCGCAATATGGGTTAACGACTATTCTTTAGCTAAGGGATATTGAAGTCTCTGGGGAACGAGCTCTGATGCTTGTTCTATGCAGAAGAGGTCGGCTCGGATCAGCAGCCTGCCATTGAGTCTGACTTATCTGGAAGCTGCTACATACAGACTCCTTGGTATGCTTCGTATTGGCCTCCAAGTGGCTTGTGACAAATCTCAATACAAGTATGACTTGAAAGTCTCTCGTCCGGACCCGAAACCCCGAATTGTAGGAGCACTTGCAAAGTACGTAAAGCACACGTCCCACTGGCTGCTGGAAGGAATGAAGTCATGATCCCTCGTTTTTGCCGTCCTCCAACTCTCCACAGTAAGCCCTAAATCTGAGCCGGTCCCTAAGCTTCTGCAGTGGTGTTAGAGAAATCGATTCTGTCATTGGTTGCTGAAATCCAGCAAGACAAGGTCCGTGCCGGAAATCTGAAAAAGAAGCGCCAGAAGCCTAAACTCGTTTAAACCTCCCCGAGGACAAATTCAACTTACACCTGCAGCCTGCAGATTTGCATAATTACACATTTTTCCTTCTACTCAAGAACTCGAGCACACGCTGAACAAATCTTCTTTCAAGCGGTGCATGTGTACACACATTAAATCATTCGTTCATTCATTTATTAATTAGTTCATCCACTCATTCATTTCATTCGTTCACTCTTTCATTCCATTGTTCATTCATTCGTTAGTAGATACGGCAGAAGTAGAATAGTAATACTGATGAAATTCATGGTATCTTAATGGTATCAAGAAGTGCAATAGCACCAGCGATTGTAATTCTTGTAACTTGTAATAATGCTGTCACATGAGGTAAGCCAGTATCGGTTGAAGGCTAAATCGTGCTACTACTTGAAAATGAAAGGTAACCACATCAAATAGCTGCAAAATAGGTAACTACTTAATATTTGTACCACCATCAGAAAAGAATAACAACTTCGAATAGACAAGTACTGCATTAAGCATAATATAGGGCCTTAATAAGTAGAATAGGGTTTTGGGGCCCATTATGCTACAGTCACAACAAGAACCCACCCAAACTGCTACAGGTATGTAATTAATGAGGAACCTACCATTAGATCCTGATAATAGCCCGAATAGTGGCCCTACTAGACCCCTATGAAGGAACCCTGTTCTAGTTAATGAGGCTCCTACAGCAATCATGCTGTGCTGAGACCCCTTATAGATCCCTTTCAGGAATTTCTTTAAACGGGAACCTCGTATAGGATCCCTTTAAGGATCCCTTTAAAGCAACCCCGTTGAAGGATCCCTTTAAAAAAAACCCTCAATTGTAGGATCCCTTTAACAGAAACCCTTCAGGATCCCTGTAAGGATCCCTTAAAAAAACCTATAGGATCCCTTTACAGGACCCCCCTTACAGGATCCCTTTAAGGATGCCTTGATCAGGACCCCCTGATAGGATCCCTTCAAGGAGCCCTTTAAGGACTCCCTTTATAGGATCCCGGCCATAAGGACCCCTTTAAGGACTCCCTTTATAGGATCCACTGTAATAAGGACCCCTTTTCAGGATCCCTTTAATAAGGACCCCTTTAAGGACTCCCTTTACAGGATCCCTTTAATAAGGACCCCTTTTCAGGATCCCTTTAATAAGGACCCCTTTAAGGACTCCCTTTACAGGATCCCTTTAATAAGGACCCCTTTTCAGGATCTCTTTTAAGGGACGCTGGGACCCCCGGGCGGCGGCCCTCGCTGAGCTCGGCTGCGGAGCCCAGGAGTTCCGACGCCAAGCGCTTGGGCGCGCTCGGGTGCGCCAGCGCCTGGGGGGGTTCCTTTAAAGGGATCCTATAAGGGGTTCCTTATAAGGGATCCTTAAAGGGATCAATAGACGTGCCTTTATAGGGATCCTTGAAAGGGATCTATAAGGGTTTAGGGTTTAGAGGGTTTGGGTTTAAGGTTCTGGGGTGTTTGGGTGTTTGAGGTTTCCGGGGTGTTCAACATAGAAGTTGCACCCAGGGTTTTCCATAGATTCATATTTCCAGCTTTTTTATAGTAAGGAATTCATAAAGTGGTTTCTTTGGGGTTTGGTGCTTCAGGTTGATTCAAAGGGGTGTCTGCAGGTTTGTACGGCGTGACATGGTTTTCTATGAGGTTTATAGGGTTGCCCTGAGCCTAAGGTTGCACGAGGGACTGACAATGTCCGAAATGGCCTAGTTTGGGGTTTATGTCATGGGTAACTATACCAGGACCCCCTGGCAATATGAGCCTTAAGCCGCGAAGCCAGTACTAGTTAATGTTTCGGTGCTTTATCGATCTTCACAGGATTTACAGGTTTTAGCTATGTAAGTCACCTCTGAAAAGGATGGGTTGTGCATACACTTGCAAAGAAGGTGCTTGGTACAGCTCACATAATAGGCATGTGCAAAGTTTGCATTGTGTATATTTCTTAACTAGGTGGGGCTTTTAGAGCCTTTGAAAAATATTAGTAATAAGATCCTCTTAAGCCCAATAAGGGAAAATACAAAATGTCCCAAAGCCCTACCTAGTTAAGGCTTTTTGGGTTGCCGTGCCTTTTATAGCGGCCAAGGCCGTTGGGCTTGGGGCTTCGTGGTTGCGGATTGGGTGAAGGGTTTGGGCTTTCGGATCATCTCAGGATTTGGGAGTGTCCGAAAACCGGGGACCCTAATATAGCACCCTAAATAGTAGGATCCTTGTGTATAAGGACACCAACATAAGGTACCCCCTAATTTTCTGCAAGCCCCATTGGGGGGGGGGGGGGGACAACGTGGGACATGCTGGACTCGAGGACATGAGAGCTAGCGGCTCGAAAGCATTCAGATCAAAGCGTCAAAGGTACTCGAAGCCGATCGCGGTGCTTGGGGCTTATAGTAGAAGCTACTAAGTTGGAACATCATAATCCCCATGCCCTTAAGGTAAAGTATAAAGGATCCTAGCACTAATCCTCCGAAAGCCATGTTCCAACTTTCTGGGGTTTACCATATAGGGCGCAGGGCTAGAACTCCAGAAGTGGTGGACAAACCTCGGCGAACTGTGCTACTGTCGACGGCCTTCTCCACGAATCCATGCCGCGATGGCGGCAGACGGGCCGTTGCCCAAACGATCGACCTCTCGTTTACTCATGGGGCATAGGCTTTGCCGCCCTTAGAACCATAATGAAAGTTGTAGTTTGGATAGTCTCTTGGGTTTTATATTTAAAAATGAGAAAAACACCAAGGATACTAAAGTTGGTCTAGGATCACCGGAGCCTACTTGCCAGCCCAAGGCGATCGAACCCGAAAACGAGCCATCTGGGCTTTACTAACCCTAAATCCCGACCCTCCAAGGGCGGTTTCGGGTAGAGGGGCCAAGGCCCTTTTGTACGTGCTTTCTATGTTTAGGAATTGTTCGGGACGCTGGAAAACACAAAGAACCGGAGCCACTCGCTCACAGGCTTTGAGAAACCAAGCCTAAAGCTCGGACAGAGATGACAGGATGCTGATTAATGTAGAGCCATGATTCGCAAAACCCTTTCAATTAGGGCCCTGGTAGGATCCCGACTACGAAGCCGTGTAAGTAAGGGGAAGGCACTCATCAAGGGTCTACAATGTCTAAGATGCACTGGCTAAAATCCTTCAGCAGCTGGCGACATAAAGTTCCCTAAACGGTCCTAGAACTGCATGGACCCCTTGTGTCAATCCGTGGCCCCTAGACAGGGAACAACCCCTTTTGGCTGTAGAGTCGGGGAGTCTGGGCCTACCGCATAAGTCGGCCGCGGGGCTTGGCATTTTCGGGCCGCAACTACCGAGGATCGAACTGGCTTGAGGGCTCTAGGCTTATACCTATAGTCTCCATTGTAGTTCCATTTTTTGGTTAACCAAAAACTCTATTATAGGATCCTAGCCATAAAATTGGTTAACCAAAGAAAGGAACTACAATGGAGACTATAGGTAGTTGTTTTTTTGATTGTTGCTGTTTTAAGGTGCTTTAGGCTGTGGTCTTTGATTAATTGAAGGGTTTAGGGCATACAAGGTTTACAGGGTTTAGGGTTTAGGACTCAGGAAGGCTTCGGTAGTGTCGGAGTGAGGAGCATTATCTACGCGGTGCTGCGATTGACGCGTACAAATGCCAGGGTTGGAAAATTGATGCAGCACGTACTGGGCAGAGTTCTAGCCTCCAACCTCGGCAATTTGCCGAGTACTCCAATCCTTAAGGACGACATGAACCCTAAAAGGGTTTAGGGTTCATATACCATATAGGGATTCATAGTATATGGGTAAAGGGCCCCTACTTTTAAGGGTCATTTGGTCCTTCAGGATTGAGACACCTCGTACCGACCCAAAGCCACCAGCGAAGGCTCCCCCAATGCCAGGGTTTCTGTTGTGTATCCCTGGCACGGCTTCGTGAAAGCAGGCGACATAATCACAGTGGTGGTGCTGAGCGCATGATGGGGCACTCCCACATCTTTGGACATGAGGAATGCCTTCTTGGCAGCCTCGAAACAGGTAGCTGCCTCCATGTTGTCGATGGACTTGAGCTTGATTGGAGACAGGCCTGTCTTCATGCCGATGAGTGTTGGGGTCATGGAGTTGGCAGTGGGCAGCCCAGCGGCGACTGCGAGGAAGGTACGTCTTCGGCTAGGAGCCGCGGCACGGGCGAAAGAAGAGAATAGCCAAAAGTTCTGGAAACGCCGGTTCTCCACCCTGAACTCGAAACCGTCAGCCCCAACGGCCGGAATGCCCCCCTGCCCCCAAGCACTTCGAAACTTCAATAAGAAGCCCGATCCCCGCAACCTATAAACACCACGAACACTCATACCCTAGGCCATAGGTCCCAAGCCCCTGAATTATCACCTCCAGCCCGAAACCCAGAGGCCCCAACAGCCCTCAAAACGCACAAACCCAACACCCCTATAGAAGACCTATACATGCTTGCAGAACCCTTTCTTGAACCCTTCTTACACCGCCCCCCAAAAAGCCCTCAACAAAAACCCACAATCTGTCGCCGGGTCCACGCCAGGTGCGCGGGGCCATCCTTCACGAGCCCGGCCTCGGTAAGGCGACTCTGGAGGTTTTTGTTTTGCTGGGGCTTTTAGGGTTTAAGGTATACTACCCTTGTAAGGACTTATGTAAAGAAGTCATATTAGGGAACCCTAAATAGCTTCCTGAGGGTTCAGGTAGAGCTTTGGGGTTTAGGTGTTGGGGGTTTATAGAGCTTAGGGGTTTAGGGTTTAGAGCTTCGGATTTCAGGCCCGGGTTTCGGCTTAGAGGTTCAGGGTTTGGGTTTGGCGACTACTGGTGCGTAAGGTTCACCCGGAACAAAGAAGTACATGGAATCATTGCCGTTTATCAGTGTCGGGCCATTAAATTATTTCACCTACTTTGAGGGGTTTTAGGTCGGGTTTAGGATTTCGGGCTTACCTGTTGCCTACTGCTGCTCAAGGATAATGGTTAGCCCATTTGCCCAAGTGCCCCGTGATAGAACCCCTGTGGTGATTCATATCGGGTGTTTGGGTCAGGGGATACTCGGGAGTCTAGGTAGGGTTGGGGCTCAGGGTTTTGGGTTTAGGGTAGCTTCTTGAAAGGGTTCAGGGCTTGTAACAAACAGGGGCTACATAAAGGGCTTAGGCTTTCTGTTCAGGGCTTAAAGGGATTCTAAGTGCTGCTTAAGGGAGAGCGAATCCCCTTTATACTGTTGATGGACAAAATCCTGCATGACCCTAAGGACTCTAAACTATGGGAACTATGGTATATTCCTTATAATGGGTACTGCAGGATTTTGTCCATCAACAGTAGCACATGCACAATCCACAATAGTCCGTATAATGCTTTCTCCACTCTTCCTTCAGCACCAAGAAGTTTGTTGGGGCTACTTTGAGGATTTGGGGCACTTTGAGGCTTATGGGACGTTTAGGGTTTTTCAGGGTCTCTTCGGGTTTTGGGTTTAGCGCTTTTGTAATCGGCTCAGGGCGTACTAGGTTTAGGGTGTAGGATTAATCTTACACGTTTGTAGCGCTTTCTCGCATTTATAGGAGTTGCAGGGTTTAAATGGCCGATGCTAGAGGTTGTAGCGCTGCACCATAAAGAAACGAATCCAGAAGCCGTAAACGCGCATGGGCAGTTGTCAAAACTATGGTGCTTTTCTGGGTCCCTATTATATTACAGCACCTATCTTTTAGGCTACTCAAAAAGGGACACCTGATTTTGACCACCACCCACATGGTACAGTGCCAAGCTGCTCAAGTCGAAAACACCGGAACATCAAGGCCAGTCGTAAAGACTTGTAACCTCAAAACCTACGTCCTACAATGCATGGCCACAAGTCTTGTATTACAGCACTAAGCCCTGCACCCAGACCCCTAAACCCACTAAGAATAAAGTCAGAACCCTGCCAAAACCTTATACACTTAACTCAAGGGCTTCGAATTCCCGAAGACCGTAGCCTGGCTTCTAAACTCCGTCGAATCAACCCACAAACCCCTGGACAAAAGCCCCAAACGTTCAAAAAACAGAAATCCTGTCCCTGAAACCTGAACACCAGGGCTGCTACTACTCCCTCCTCTGCCACGGCATGGAGGAGCAAGTCGATGCAGTCGCGGTGATGTTCAGAAAGGACCTGAGCTTCTCAATCGTACGGCTCTCAACCCCTTAGACTCTTTAGGGCCTTGGGTTTAGTGCTCAGGCTTGGGGGTTCAGGGTTTCAGGCCTAGGTCTTAAGGCGTAGGGCTCATCGGGCTTACGGTTATGTAGCTTTAGGGTTTAGGGCTTAAGTGCTCAATGGCACCGTTTAGAATCCGCTTGGCGCTACTATATCATAGCAACAAGAGTGGAACTAATATAGGGGCCTTAATGATTAGAGTAGGGCTTTGGGGGCCCATTCTCGTATAAGTATCATCAGGAACCCCCAAACTAGTATTGGCAAATACTTCGGCCCCCAGTTGACTTTCAAGGACGTCCCAGCCCCTCGATGGACAAGACCCTTGGTAATCCATAGGGCCATAGGGAGGCATGTACATGAGGGGCTGCATAAAGTCTATGTAAGGCTTAAGTGCATTATCCGCAATTCGGGGCAAGCTTGAGCTCATAAGTTAGTCTATTGACGCTAGTGCATCAGCAGCGCGTCTGCTCACAATGGCTTAGGGCCTGGGGGGGCTTTATGTGAAGGCTGCGGCCACTACTCCGGAGGACCAATCAAGATGTCAGGCTATCTGTATGCTACACAACAAGAACAAGGGCAAGATTGACCCCAAGACTACACCCGTGACCCCCCAACTCCTAAAGCTTTAAAGCTGGAAAGCCCTTCAAACCCGCAGCGCCAAGACCCCAAAGTGTTAGCTTCCATGATTAATCCCAAAGTCTAATTACACTGTAAATTCTGAAACCTGAACCCTAAACCCTCAACCCCCAAAATATTTTATATAGAGCCTTCGTAGAGCTCCGTGGAGATCTTCATGGACCGCTTTAGCACGAAACCCTACACAAAAAAAACACCGGCCGGGTCCCTTGGCGGCCATGGTCCAAAGCATACCGGCCACCTTCCGGAGAGCGAGTATCAGATTTATGCAGGTCTGACTGCACTTGATGAAGCTTGAACAAGTTGAAAAGACTTTCTGTTCACACGAAGATTCTGAGACGTTGAGGGAGTGCTAAGCGGGGTCTTTAGAGAGCTATGGACTATGGGACTCTTCGAACTGTTCTTCTTTTGGCTGTGATGCGGAAGACAGGGCCTGAGGACCAGGACCCTCCTCGTACCCTCAAATAGGGGTATATGGTCCCAAATAAGGGGCATTTAGGGTCTAATTCAGGGTAGATGGAGGGTCTAGGCATGATGCTGTCGAATGTAGGTTGCCAGCAGCCAGGAAGCTAAACCCCATGCCCAGGATTTCTGCAAAGCCCGAGACCCGAAAGCCCGGTTCCCAAAGCGGGTAGAAGAGGTTTCTGAGGTATAGTGCACTATAACATATTGTAACTACTACAACAACCACTACAAGGGGACATAAGTACTGGTGGTTCACGCAAGCACACGGAATATGAACACAGAAAGCGTTCTCGAGCACTCCATGCTGAAGATGTCAGGAATCAGGATGTTTGAACACAACTCAGGTTTCACGGCTTCCGAGAACGCGAAACCTGCATCGCTAAGTGTAACGTCTATCTGCATGGCACCTGAAGTTGTTGGAAAGTACGGCCCCAGGACGTGCGATGTGAAAGGATGTTTCGGATGCTTCATTCCGCGAAAAGTCTTGATCCAGACACTCTAACTGCCCACTGAACCCTGAAACCACGACGCTCGAGCTCTATGCCGTCAAATGGTTACCCCTACACCCCGAAACTCAAGCATCTGGCATGCAAGCAGCGCTTCCATAACCGCATTCACAAAGCCAACCAACACACAATACCCAGCCTCTATAACCCTAAACCCTCTTAACCCATGCTTGTTGCGGCCTGGCGCCCGTCGTAGGTGACCCTGGCTTCAGGTTCAGGGCTGCGGATTTCGCTGATTTTTGCGATGTCAATTTCGTTGTTTTTGGTGCGGGTTTCAGGGTTTACGGTTAAAGGGGTGGGTGCAGCCTAGATGTAGAGATCAAGGATGCAAGGTTTAGTTTAGGCGTCAAGTTATGCTGCGATGCTGTTTTGCTTCCTCAAAGCCCCACTACACATCTCAAACTTCAAACCCTCAACCAAAAAGCATCTCTCCCCCACATCTTCCCTTCCAGCCGGCAGAAGCCCGCCCCCCCCCCCCCCCCCTCCCCTCCGCCTGCGCATGCCCGGAGGAAGAGCATCGATCACCTTTCCAATGCCACGAACCTTTCGAGCCGTGTTTTTTAAGCTCCAGGAAACTGTCGAACGGTCAAGGTCTATACGGGTCCGAAGTTGGGGTGAAGTTTTCAGAGTGTCGGGGTTGGGATCGCTTAGGGTCTAGGTTTTGGACGTCCATTCTCAATCCAAGGCCCCAAGACCTTTCAGATCGGGAGCCTTTGTCGCATCGCAAGTATAGATTTGAAGCAAAGGAAGAGTAAACATGGGGCCACAGCTGGTGCAGCGAGATAAGGGTTACAAGAAGGGCTATGATAAAGGATACTGTAGGGTGACCGCAGGGAACCGTTGCAAAGCAGCATAATATAGCACCGATCCGATTCAAACGATCATCGTCTGCTTCAGCAGCCCCGAAAGGCAAACTTACACCCAAAACCAAAAGCAAGCATGCCTGATCAACTGAGCCTCCGAACCGTGAGCCATGAACGCAGGCCTCACGCCTCTAAGGCACCTTACATGGAACAAACGGGACTTGCATAAACGGGCCACCCTTGATTCCGTAGCCGTAAGCTTGACTTTAAGTTAATGCATGCCAGGCATGCAGTGGCATTGCACCCGAGACAAGAAATTTAAATGGAGACAGACACCTTTGCAAAAAGTCATCGAAATTTCCATGTCAATTCTGCTAAAGCCCAGCAACTCACTGGCACAGAACCCACTCCACATCCTAAATCCCAAAAAGCCGTCGGCAAACTTGGGCTGCTGAACCTATGTTTCTACAGAGTCCCATCTGCGCCAGACGGATCCCGTAGCCCTAAACTTCACAACACGACATGATACGACCCCTTCACTCTAGGCCGAAAGCCCTAAACACTGCAGGGTTTGGGATCAACAAGTAGGCCCTGAACCCTAAACCCCGACTTAAAGCATTATGGGACTTAGTAGCTAGGAATGTTAGTTAAGGTAACACTACTTACAATTAATTTCCCAAAACCCCACCTAAGGTACTTATAACCTCAGTTACTAAGTCCCACGATCCTCCAAATAGACCGCAAACCCTCAAACCTCTCTGTGCCTGGCAGACACCAAAAGCCCAAAGGATGGAGGAGTGATGCTGTGCGACGAGCTCTCCCGCTAGCCTTGCCGTGACGTTCATGGACTCTTTTAAGTAATTTACAACTAACCTATGGCCCCCCAAAAAACCCAACCTTTTGGGTGAATTATATAGAAAACATAATAAGAAGCCCTATAGGGAGGTAGGTTTTTTCAGCCGACGGGTTTAAAGTAGGAACCTCAGTATTTTGAAAAGGATTTTTGGGAGGTATGTTATCATAGAGTTATAGCAAGGAACCTCCAGGAATCAAAAGAATCTGTCCAGGCCCCTTGATTAGTCCAGGACTGTCCGTTTTAGCAAAACAGCCCAATTATACCCTAGAGCCCATGAGTGGGAATGAGGGTACCTCGACTGATCTTCGTGATCTTTACTCCGGGACCTCTGAAGAGGACAACAGTGTTGTAGACAGGGCTCAGGAGGGTTTTTGTTCGTTGTCCCATATCATGAGCTTCCGACGTGCCCGTATGTTTTCTCGTTCCCCGTAGTTTCTGCAGCTGCCGTTTGGCGCCGATCAATGTAGACAGAGATGTCAAAGCAACGTGAGCGACACGGCCAAGTGGCCAAGTACTGAGATGGCAAGCAGGCTAACAACACAGCAAACCACAGAAGCCTAAACCGTGAACAACTCTGAAAACAAATTCCAACTAACACTGCACAAGATTGATTGCCCATCTTGCACCTGCTGCAGGCCGCTGTGAGGGCTGCAAAGAGTGCCGGGTGGCGTTGTCCGGGCTGACGCAACTCATTCAGCCTTGACCACTGAAGTGGCACGAGAGCAAACGTTGCCGCAGTACGCTTCTAAATACGGTTTAGTGTATGCGGCAACCGTTTCGGGCTTGGGGTGCTACGCACTTTGACAGGCTTATATCCCTGCCGAAAAACAGTGACGAAGCCGGAAAGACCAACTACACTGCAGACCCTGATGTGTTGACCAGGTTTGCAACTCTTGCAATATAGGGGTCGACATGATTCATGATTAATACTATTACTATAACCCTCTACAGCTTCCATAGACTGTTAGTACACAATGCAAATTGAAACTCTCCTCCCATTATTGAAGCCTCTATGTTGTTTACTAAACCAAGCCGTCACCCACAAGAGGGTCACTCCCCGCAGGAGACTGCAAGATCGTTCTGCACTATCCTTGTCACACGATAGAACGAGAAGTCGGCTTAACAAAGACAGGGATCTTGATAGGGAGGAAAGGGGTGTTGGAGCATATTCTAGGCCATCTACAAGAATTAAGTAAGGGGCTTCCTGGTTATCACGAACTGAAGAAGGTGCGTACCTATGGTCTCCATTGTAGTTCCTTTTTTTTGGTTGACCAGTTTTATGGTTAGGACCCTATAATAGTGATTTTGGTTAACCAAAAAAAGGAACTACAGTGGAGACTACAGGTACTTCTAAACGTAGGTCATGTATTTGGATGCGAAATCTTGGCGGCCACCGGGTTACAAGACTGCCACTATGATGAAGGAAAGCCCTCATGTTGCATCTTACGCAGCTCCTAAACCCTAAACCCTGATGTTGCATCTTATATGCATCCGACGAACTAATGGATGCCTTCCTGTCAACCGAAACTGAGGTCGTAAAGGTCGGTTTAGGTTGCACACAACGACAAGGACAGCAAATTTTCTACTTGGTAGTGATGGGCTCAGATGTGCGTGATCTTCTTCTCATTACTTATCGTTCATTTGCTTCTCGAGCGCTGCTTGGCCAAGTTCTGCAACGAAATCCTTCGCCTTGCTTTTCCTACTGGACGAAGGTAAAAGGGCAAACGAACCCATGCTACACCACAAATCATTTGGGCATTTGTATCACAGGAAGGTACAGCTGAAAACAGAAAGACCAACCATGCGCCAGGACTCAAAAACAAGAAGCCTGTACAGCACCAGCGAGAACGGGATATGCTAAGATTGCAAGCATGGCCTTTTTGAACCTTCACCAGTATAAATGCTCGACGCCACAAGAATCATATTCAGCCATGCACCAGAAGAACTCGATATAGTAGCTGCAAAAGAGATCCTGTTGCATTATATAACTGGCCCCATCTACGGCTTAATCAAAAGACCCTGAGGCAGCACAAAACCCTGAGTGTCCCACTCGTCCGCGCGGGAGACATTTGCAAACGACCAGCAGAGGTTTGCCAGATGAAGTGGCCTGGCATGCTCTTTCACATAAGGGCTTTGGGTTATAGGTTTGAGGGTCCAGGGTACTGCGAATGTTGCGGGGCTTCTCTTCTGGTCACTGCCGGTATACGCAAAAATCATTATGCCATTCTCCAACATTGCATCAGTATGACTGCTGCTGTTAGCATCTTTGTGTGTTCTCGTTAGCTTGATAATCTGTGGCTCCTGGCAACAAATATTCACAGTAGCATCGCGGTATTCCTATTCGTGTCAAAACCTGTCCGCTTGGTGTTGCATTGTATTGAACACTTCATGTATGGGTGGTTGTCAAAATCAAGGTCCCGTTTTGGGTCCCTAATATAGTAATTACGGCACCTGATATCTAGGGTACCCAAACAAGGGACCCTAATTCTGACAATTGCCCGTATGATTCGGGCTTCCTGCTGGGGCTTTGGACGAAGCAGATGTTCGGGGCCCTGGGGCTCAGCACGGGCTTGGATGTACCCATGGCTCCAACGAACTAGAATGAGGGTCTTGCTCCTTACCTGCTATTGTACAGGACGTACTTAAGCTGGAGGCAGAGCGTTTGAAACCTTGCAAGCCCACATACAATCCAAACCGCGACAGCGCTAAACCTGAACCTTCACTTTATACCCTCCCCTCCAGGTTGGGCTTGCAGGTGGTAGTTTCACAAGGAAGGGGACCATAGTATCCGGCTCGACGGATGGGATCACAGATCTCAACCCTCAAACTTCAAACCCTGGCAGGCCCTTACAAAGCCCTTAAGTGACCCATATACAAGCCGTCAATACTCTGGGCTTCTGCAGCTCCGAGGCAGCTTCAGGTAGTTTCGGGTGCACGAAAAGTGGCCGGAAGTGCTCCAACTCGCGCACTCTGGCCGCCTGCAGGAGATGATTGGTAGCTTTATTTTGTTGGCGTTTATTGCGTCCTGATTGGCTTTTAAGCTCTTACAACCATCCCTCTGCTTTTAGGTTTTGGCTTGCAATCACGGTGACAGGAAAGAGTTACATCCAAGGCGCAAGGGTCATAGGTTCAGAGCTTTAAGAAAATGCAGACCTTAGGGCTCGAGGTCTTATGTCTGATGATTTGGAAATTCAGGCTGTTTTTGCTATCGACCGAGGTTCAGGCATGGGGTGCGGTAAAGCTCCTCGCATCGCAGCCTCCAGCAAGAGACACCACGATGACCCGGCACCCCAAAACCTCAGAAGCCTTAACACCAGAGCTCGAACCCCGAAGCCCCAAATGCACAACCCCAAGCCCAGATAATGCACCCCAACAGCCAGAAGCCCAAACCCCTAAACCATGCATGGAAACCCTGAACACCAAGAAACCCCGTGATACCATGCTACGCGGCAAACTACATCAAAGCTTGCAGCCCGAAACCCTAAAGCACCCAAACCTCTGAAGCTGTGAAACACGCAGAACTCGGGAGGTCTCAGGCAATAGTTCATTGCAGTAAGAGTATTCAGGGTAACAATGGTCATAATAATAATAGTTTCAGTAATTTCTTGATAATAACCATGTCAATAATAGAAACAACGGTACGAATCGTAGCAGTCATACTAATACTTGTTATCATAGCAAAAGCATTATGTAACACTAGTTTATACTCAGAATACCAATAATCACAATGATATCCATTGTCACAATGGCAAATAATCAATCACGGCTATCGTAATAGCAACAGTTTCTAGCAGCAACAGCAATCACAGCAACAATGGCAAACAACAGCGCTAACCCTATGAAACGTAATAAGGAGAATACTCGTAATAACAGTGATCCATCATACTAAGGACAATCGTTTCACTAGTAAAGCTTGTAATGTTAGCATTAGTTGTAATCATAGCAATTAAAATATGTTGTTAATAATACTAGTCTGATGCTTTTTGAGGCGCCCACGGCCGCATGGCCCAAAGCTTCAAAAAGCTGCTCCTCCCGTGGACCAGCCTAGGAACTTCTCAAGAAATGGCCCTTCTACAAACTTGTTGTACAAGAACCCTTGAAGGGTTCCAGAGGGTTCCCCTGAAGGATTTCTATTGAGGGTTCTAAGGAGTATGTGTGACTGTTGAAAGAAAGTTCTAAAGATTAGGATCGCCCGTCTATACGGTTACCCTGAAGGGTTCCTGTATGGGTTCTTGAATCAGGATTAAGCCTAGGAACGTCTTCGGGACAGGCCCGTGATGGCTTAGGGTTGTGTTTTTGTTGAGTTGGTTTTTACGATCTGCCCAGCTTTAGTGTGTCGAATTTATAAGTTGAGGTGTAACGTTTACTGCTCAAGGTGTAGGGTTTAAGGTCTGCGGATTGAACTTTTGACAAAAGGCATTCAAGCCTTTTGTAGAAGCCTCGGCATTCCTTACACCATCATTCACAACAACGGTTGGACCCACAACACCAATTCCAGGAAAAAGCAACAGCAACAACAACAACAGCAAAGAGACAACCGACAGCACAGAAGCATGCGAAAGCAGCAGCAGCAGCAGCAGCAGCAGCAGCAGCAGCAGCAGCAGCAGCAGCAGCGGTCGTGGTGTCTTTCGAGCTCGGAGGCCTTGTGTAGCGCAGACACTCCAGCGCAACCGAATCAGGTGATGGCCAGCACCAACACAGCAAAGCCCTCCCACCCACAGCACCAGCACCAGGCGCAAAAGCAACAGCAACAACAACAACAAAGGCTCAAACAACCGACAGCACAGAAGCATGCAGGAGCGGCGATCTTGGTGTCCTTCTAGCTTGGAGGCCTTGTGCATCGCAGACACGCCAGCGCATTCGAATGACGCGATCACCAGCACCAACACAGCAAGCACTCGCACCCACAACACCAGCACCAGGAGCAAAAGCGACACCAACACCAACACCAGAAACAACAGCAACAGCAGGAGCAACCGCGGCAGCAGCAGCACCACCACCACCAGCACCAACAACGTTCCGAGGGGAAGGGGCTTCGGATTTGAGGATTTAGGCTCTTGTCGAGCTTCTGCAAGGTTCTGTTTGGGCGACTTCTGGATCACCATCAGATGTTGGCGAGCTTTGGATTTACTTATAAGTTCGAGGGTTCGCATGCAGAAGGGATCTAAGGCATCTCTGCAAAGTTCGTACCCGAGTCGTTGAGGATATCTCAGGCTTAACAGGGTGTCGCAGAATTTAAGCCGAGTTTCACACCCTGGGCATGAACCCCAAAACCCACCAGTGTAGTTTGAGAACGGCGCGATTCAGTGTTCATCGTTGGGTTGAGGGCCGGAATTGGTTGTTCAGGGTACTGGGTAAGTAAGGTCACAGTAGCCTGATCGGCCTTAAACACATTCGAGGCAGATTACCCAGCCAAAAGCCCTACTTACTAGTTCTCGGGTGCCCAAAGTTCGGCTAGAGCTTGCTGTTATCAGAGACTCTGCGGTATACGCAAGGCCCGGGACATTGGTTTAGGACCAGAACCGAGGGTTCGTGGAGATTAGGCTAGGCCTGATAAACCCTAAACCGAAGTCTAGTGTTCCCAACCATGACGGCCCCGACATCAAGGTTGGCAGATCTGGCTACTGCAGATTAGGAAGGCACGTTATAAGTGCATGTCTTGGGGTTATACGTAATTACAAATAGAGTTATACCTTCATAGCGACTCTGGTTGCTAAGTCCCATGATCCTTTAAGTCACCTACTGAAGTACTGTCGATTGTCAACACCCCTGGTGCTTCGAACACCCAAACCCAACAAGGACTAAAACTGAGACCTATAATCCAAGACCCTATAAACCCCAAACCCTAAAACCATCCTAAACCTCATAGATGCGCCTTACTTGGCCTTAACAGCTACCCACAGGATCCATAGTAGTTCCCTTTACGGTCCGTATTTAGAATCCCAGAAGGTAATCCCAAAAAGGAGCTATACTATGAAGCCGATGTGTATACAGTAAATATAGACCTTCACATACTTTCATCGGGTTTAGGATTTATGTAGCGGTATGTTAAGAATGACATTACCGACTCCTTTACTTTCATGCATCCATGTGGATATTCAGACCTTTTGGGCCGGGTTCAAGGAGGATCTCTTTGTCACCTGTCCAAAACTTGTGTTTTCCTGGGTGCTAGTTCAGGGATGTAATGTAAGTTGTCAGATTAAGGGTACCATATTATTTAAAACGGATTCCTGTTATGGTAACTTGAACTCCCTTAACAGGACTTTCAAGCACCCGTTTTCAGCCTCAAACTTGAAAAAACTTCACCCCGGGGCTCTGCTGAGATTTGCTGCCAAGCAGCCCTGGCATACGCCCAGGCAATGTTGCAGATGTGGGACCTCATGCTGGGGGTATAAGAGGGGCCTCTTTAAGAGGACTAGGGTTTTAGGGTGTATATTCTATCATAACTATAATAAGACTCTCTAGGGAGTAGTATGGGTTATTAATTACTCCAAATATTCCGCCCACCAAGTTATGGTCTTGACGCACTTTGGGGATTGCACGAAACCTGACAGAACACCCGAAGCGAAACTCCGAAGCTCGATTCGCCATACTGTTTCTGCTTCTTGCTCACAAATCAGAACAACTTATCACAGAACCGAGGTTCTGCAAAGACCACGAGCTCGCATCCCTTCAACAATAAACTGCCGTTGCAAGACTTTTCGAAGCCGAATCACCCAATCCCTAAAACCCATCGAAATTTACACCTGAACAAATCCAGTGAACTGCTTCAAGCTTCGATCACTTACCCACAGCCGTGGCGTCAAAAGAAGCATGCACCACACGGGCGCCACGTGTGAAAGATCCAGATATTACAGAGGCCTCAGGGCTTGAAACTTGCACATGTGGGTTTGGGGAGTGATCTGGTGATGCGACTGCAAATTGTATATGATATTCTACATGCGCGTATATACTTTGTACATATGTATATATACACGCATACATACACACATATAGGAGCTTACTGGAACAAAGCACATCGGATCCGGCCAACTGCTGCGGTTCCCATATAGTAATGCCAGAACGGGTTGCTGGGATCCCGGCACGTCCATGCCAGAGAAAGACCGCTGGGCCTCTTCTGTGTGTGCACGAAAACTGTAGAGGCCACAATATTGTGGCGGGGTGCTATATGGGGAGTATTTTACTACAAGCAATGAATGATGCCTCCTAGGGCAGCATGAACAAGTCTCCGTCACTAGGATATGCCGTACAGGTAAATACGCGCCTTGCTTCTGAAGGCTAGGCCCCTCAGCCAGAATCCAGGCTATGGCTGTGGCATTTTCGAGGCTTTGAACTTTCAACGGCTACAGGGCCACAAACCACAGATGAAGTGTGGTACTTGCTTGAATCATGGAAAGTTCTCGACTCCGAGATAAGAATACAGAACTGAGGCTGTGGTATTTCATGGCACACGGTTTGCACGCTCCTACAGGTCTCAACCTCCCGAAATTCAGAAATGTGCGGCACACGTACTGCGGACTGCCAACCAAACGATGGGATATGAGAAATCCCGAATTGGGACCAGTGAGCTGTGGCCGCACCTGAAAACCAAGGCTGAACCTACAATGCAAAGCACCCGTGCATGACAGTATCGGAGCACTACCCAGAGGCTCCATAGCAGTTCCTTTTCGGGATTACCTTGTAGGATTCTTTTTGTGAGCCCCGAAAAGGAACTACTTTGTTGCCGTGGGGTAAGGGCCCTAGGCTGGAAGGGACCTAAGGACCTAATCCCAACACAGACCCACAAAATACAGAAATTCTCTGTGTGAAGCCCCGCCCCCCCCGCTGTATCAGAAGTCGCTTACACACGAGAACCGCCTACACTGCCCTGGCCCTGCACAGTGCCTGCGAGGCTGCAGCCCGAAATACGGCGTCGGCAGGATATCCACTGACCTTGGGACTTGAGGGTTTAGGCTTCAGAGGCCCCAAAGTAGTTCCTTTTTGGGATTACCTTATAGGATTCTATATACGAAGAGGCCCCAAAGTAGTTCCTTTTTGGGATTACCTTATAGGACTCTATATACGAACCCCCCAAAAGGAACTACTTTGGGGACTTGGGAGCTTAGGCTTCAGAGCTTGCGCGCTCAAAGAAAGCATTGCAGGTTTGTGCTTGTGCTAGTTTAGGGTTTAGGGTTTATGGGTTTAGGGGTTTAGGGTTTAGGGGTTAGGGTTTAGGGGTTTAGGGTTTAGGGTTTAGGGTTTAGGGTTAGTCTTAAGACACTGCAGACTGCAGACTTTATGCACCATGCCCAAAACTGCTTCGAAAGTCCTTCACGGCTCCAAGGTTGGTATAGCCTAAGGGTCCATGTGCCCATATAAAGATACATGGGCCCCAAAGTACCCAAATAGGGACTACATTAAGGCCAATGTATATATATATATACTATATGAGTACATGGACCCTTAGGGATAGCTTGGGTTCGAGTTCAACAGTCCCTAAAGTTGTGTATATTTAGTAAGTAGGCCTCTGCATTCAGAAATATCGGAAGTTAAAAGTTATCCCGAACCCATATCTAGTATACCTACTGACCCTAGTATAGAACCCTATAGTAACCCTAAACAAAAGGGAGCCCATTTTAGAGCCATATAGTACCCCTTAAAGGAGACCTATCATAGAACCATATAAGTCTGTGTGTCTCAGTCTTACGGTCTTTAGCAGCGCATGGCAGAGGTGGAAAAACCATAAGAAGGACCTACATTAACAAGTCGGGTTTTCTTATAGTGGCAAGTTAACTTAAATGCACTGACAAGATCCCAGTAAGGACACTGCAGATTCCATAAGCCGTTTGGTTGCAGAGATGCAGGGCAGCTAACTAACAAGCCCAGAGAGGGTCCTTGTGTCTAACAACTGCACAAAACCCCGCCCCCCTCAAACAAAACCCTAAACTCTAAACAAAACAATTACTCCTACAACTGCCATTGTCTCAAGCCCAAATACCTGACAAAGAGCGAACACATGTGCTTCAACACCACCCCAAAAAAGGCAAAATCCAAACTTCCTAAGCCCTTGGGGGAAGTCCCTAATATCCAAAGCCCGCACCTAAAACTTCTTAAGCCCGAAGCCCCTGAACCCTAAAGCCTACCTATAGCCTCCATTGTAGTTCTTTGTTTTGGTTAGCCAAAATCTCTATTATAGGGTCCTAACCATAAAACTGGTTAACCAGAAAAAGGAACTACAATGGAGACTACAGGTAAACTCCAAACCCGACATCCGCAGGCCCCAAACAGCTCGAGTCTATCCTGAGCTCCGAGCCGCCAGAGCCCAAAGAGTGATTGGAAGCTCCTGCACGAAGAGCGGAGACTCTTGTTTTGGTTCTTATTGTTGGTTTAGGGTTTAGGGTTTTAGGGGGGCTTAGGGTTTAGGGTTTAGGGTGGCTTAGGGTTTAGGGTTTAGGGTGGCTTAGGGTTTAGGGTTTAGGGTGGCTTAGAGTTTAGGGTTTAGGATTTAGCGTGGCTTAGAGTTTAGGGTTTAGGATTTAGGGGGGCTTAGGCTTTAGGATGTAGGGGGTTTGGGACTATAAGGCTGCGGGCAAGCTGCGCAAGCCTGACGTGTGCCCTCTTTCAGGCACCCTTTCTGGGTGTGGATGGTGTTGCTGAGCGGAACTTTGCCAGATCCTACAACGGCTTTGAACACACCATGTAACAGTATATGACATGTATGCTTATGTAAAATGCCAGCCCAGTCATGCCAAAACGCTGAGCCCGAGTCCTCTAATCCGACAGCCATTTATCTCAAGCCCTGAACAAGGAAACCTATAGCTCGTACAAAACCCTAAACTCCACCACCGTTCCTGAACTGCTAGAAACCTTGGTACCGGAAAGGGAAACTCCTTAACCCCACAGTCGAAAACCCTTATCATCCGAAAAGGAGTCATATTACCTTTGTCTCTCTCCTGTGCACCGAGCTCGGTAACTCGTGAACTGCCTCATCAGCGAGGGAGCTACTTAAAGGGGTTTTTAGCAGTTATAGCCTTGAGGGTTTTGTCATTTTAGGCAATTAGGATAGGGTTTGGGGAATGAGCTCATTTTTTTGGAGTTCTTAGTCCGGGTGGCGATTATGTCGCTGCAAAGTAGCCAAAGCCACCCCACGTCAAGACGAAGGAAGCTTTACGACTTTCATGCATCTGAAGATTAGGATGGACCCGAAACTTAGGATAGACCCGAGGCCCGAAGCACTACAAACCCTGAACCAGGAAACTTAGTTGGGGGTTTCCGAAAATAGGGGACCCTAATATAGTACCCTAAATAGTAGGATCCTTATTATAAGGACACCCAAATAAGGTACCCCTAATTTTCGGAAACTCCCAGTTGGTTGGTCGCATTCTGTCAACGCGGGTTTGGGTGCACGTTCTGGTCAGCAGGAACTCCCCTGCTGCGGGAGAAACTAAACCCTAAACCCTAAACCGAGTTCATTACCGTAGGCTTAGAGTCAGGATCCTTTCGGGGCTTCAGGTCTAGAGTCCCGGAAGACGCTCTTCTCAATGTGGCAGCCTAGGCACGAGTTCAAGCCCTTTACCGCAAATGCCATCAACCCTACACACCCAAACCGCTAAAAGCCTAAACCCCAAACCGCCCCCAAACCCGGAACAGCTAAAACCGCTAAAACCCCAAACCCTAAACCCAGATCTCCACAAGCCCACGCGCTACAAAACCCCGAGCCCCAAATCCTGGAGATCGCTGAAACTCCGAAACGCCTAGCCGTCCGAGCCTGGGTCCCCAAAGGCCACCCCAAAATCTTAGTATGGTTTAGGGTTCCTCTTTTAGGGTACTATAGTAGGGTTCTGTGACAGGGTTCCTTAGAGGGATCTAGAAGGGTTCTACAATGGGGGGGATCATTAACACCAAGCCCGTGCCCCCCCCAAAATCCCAAGGCTTAAATGTCGAAGTCTCTGAGGCTCCTGCATCATGGTGTTGAGGATTGGCTAGACTACCCCAAGGCCCCAAAGTAGTTCCTTTTGGGGGTTCATACTCAGAATTCTATAAGGTAATCCCAAAAAGGAACTACTATGGCGCCTATGGGTAGAGGGTGCACGAGCTTAGCTTAAGGGTTCATGTCTCCCGGCTTTCGCTGTACAACCGGGCTTCGGGTGCTGAGACCATCCAGCTCAAGCCGTGGAACGATGTAAGATCTTACCTTACCCACTAAGTTTATGGATTCCGGTGCTAGCTGCTAGCTCCTCCCGGCCGAACCTAAGCCCCCAACCCTGTACCCTAAAGCAATAAGGCAGCGACACTGCTCCACCAAGGCAGCAAACAGGGGTAGATCACGATGCTGTGCCGCTGCGTAGGCCTAGAAGAATTAGCAACTGGAGTCTATAAGCTCCATCAGGCCGCCTGGGGTTCTGTAATGAGGGAATGTAGGATTTAGGGTTCAGGGCATAGGTGCAAGTGTATGGTGGTTAAAGGTTGGAAGTTCAGGAAAGCGGGGTACAACTCCTTCGAGATTCAATGTCGTAGGGCTGGGTACAACTTGGTACGAAGGATATGTGAAGTACAGGGTGTCACTTGCTAATAGTGCCATATTATGAGTGCCTCAAATATACATCCACTAGTGACTTAAGGCGTCCTGCATGCAACCACCAGGCTCCACAGTATATGCGTGATATTTCTACTCAACATTGCACCGTGTATGCTCACGTCATGAAACACTGGTCTGGGTCACACCTGTCACTAAGCCATAGACCCTACAAGCAACATCCGACACGCTACCTGCAACAACAGCGGACTCACTATGTTGATTTTAATTTTGGGGTATACTATACTGCAGTATACCGTAAGATGTTTTTGTACTAGGGAGCCATCAGGAATACTACTACACATGTGTATATATATATATATGTATATACTGTATGCTGGAGCACAAACCTTGAAACCCAAATCACTACATCCTAAAAAGCACGACCAATGCAAACGCCCTGCTATCGCACAACTCACGAACCCCTACTCCATGTACCCACGTAGTATATACTATGGACCCAAAGTAGCTATAAACATATATAAATAGGGATTACTTTAAGAACACAGTATATTGTATTTAGGCACATGGACCAGTAGGGCACAAGTCACAGAAGCCCGCTTTTGCTCTCGCAATCGACAGGCTTGAAACGATCTTCAAAACGAAGCCAATGGCTGGAGCTGACTGGCTCTGGGTTAAGGGTTTAGGGTTTAGGGGTTAGGGTTTGGGGCAGATAGAAGTTTAAGGTACCGCCAAGTCGTAAGACTCTGTATATTCGAAGGACATTCGGCGTGCTTTGACTTTGTCACCAAAACACAGCTGGAGCAGGGACCAGCAGTTGCATGTAGTTCAGATATACCTGGCCTGGAAGTGCTGGTCTTGAGGGTTTTGAGTTTAAGGCTGCAGGTCTCAGCGGTTACTACTTATTTCTCCGGCTCTCCATCCTTGCCTTCATCCTCCTCCTCCTTCTCTCTCTGCTCCTCCTCCTCCTTCTCTCTCTGCTCCTCCTCCTTCTCCCGCTGCTCCTCCTCCAGCTTCGTCTCCTTCTCCTGGCAGGGTTTGGCTGTGGTAACGAATTTTGAAAATCCGGGTTTCTATTGCGCTTTGGTTGATTATGGCTGTGGCGCCTTATGATTTTGGGACTTCGGGGTGCGGGCTCTGGGTTCGGGTTTACTGGAGCTAAGATGTGGGATTTCTCAGGACTTCCTGCATGGAAGTAGTCTATCCCACCCCCACACCCAGCCCGGCCAAGACCTGCTCGGCTGGAGGTTTTCTATAGAATTCCAACCCAACGAAGATTAGGGCTTGCAAAAACCTAGGTTATGGTAGGCCCGCACTCCCATCCTCGTCTGACTCGTCTCCGAGGACATCGCTGTGGATGTCGCTGTCGAGATCGACCTCGCTGGACGGGAAGGCATATACGGTTCAGGGTTTGGGGTGTACGGTTGAGGATTTCAACAGCCCCCCCCCCCAAGTTATTTACAAGTCGGGCTCTCTATTTCGGAACAATAATGGAGATTAAAAACTATAGCTGGGACCTTGTCACAAGAAACCCCCAGATTCCTAGATTTGCTGAACATCCTAACAAGCGACACAAAGATTCAGGAAAACAAAATATTCATGGACAGCTTCAACTATTAAAAGGCCCTTGCAAATCAATCCTCAAAACAAAGCCTTTTCAACTCCCAACCCTCGACCCTAAACTCTTTTACCTCATCCTCAATCCCTAAACCATAATCCCTAATCCCTTAACCCAAATCCCTGAGCCATACTCCCTAAATCCAAATCCCGAGTCCCTAAACCCAATTCCCTAAGCCCAAATCTCTAAACCATAATCCCCCTAAGCCATAATCCCTGCCCGTAGACCATAACCCCTGATCCCCAAACTTTGGGGATCATGGATTAGGGATTATTTTTCGCAACCCTAAACCCTAAACCCGAAACCCCAAAACCCTAAACCCCCTTGCAAGCTCAACTAGAAACTGCTCGAACCAGAGCTGCTGAACCCTAAACCCGAAACCCTCAAACCCTAAAACCCTAAACCCGAAACCCCAAAAACCCTAAACCCCCCGAAAACCGGCCTCCGAAGACTTCGAAAGTGGCTCGGAGAGCTCACTGCGAGGGCTGTTGGAGCCCAGTGGGTCGCTCTCGCCTCGGGAGAACGGCGCTGGAGCCCTAGGAGTTGGGATTGAGGCTTTAGGGTTCAGGGTTTAGGGTTTTAGGGTTTAGGGTTTAGGGTTTTAGGGTTTAGGGTTTAGGGTTTTAGGGTTTAGGGTTTGGGGTTTAGGGTTTAGGGTTTAGGGTCAGGGTTTAGGGTCAGGGTTCAGGGCTTAGGGTGTTAGGGTTGAGTTTTTATGGGCCCTTTTCCATCTGCAGAACATCCGGAATTCCATGTTGGAGCAGCCTGTGGTCCCCAGCCTGGTTAACCCAGTTCAACCTAATCACATACACCTTAACCAGGGTTTAGTTTGTTTTTTTTAACGGCCCGTTTCCTCCTCGCAAGGTTTAGGGTTTGGGGTTTAGGGTTTAGGTTCAGGGTTTAGGGTCAGGGTTCAGGGTTCAGGGCTTAGGGTGTTAGGGTTGAGGGTTTAGTAGGGCTGAAGGTTTCCCGAGCTCAGAATAGCCCAAAAACCTCATGTAGTATGGTCTTTGGACCTGGAAGCCTTCATACATGTGTCCTTAGAGCCCTGGCTTTTGGGGTTCAGAAATCCTTGAAGTATGTAAATTCTATAGGGTTGCTAACTAGGATCCCAGTAACCTGGGAAGAATGGCTCCACTCTTGGTATTGGCTAGTTTTATCAACCGACCAGCACAAATTGGTCCCAAGCACCCGTGGGAGACCCAGCTAATTTGCTTTCGAAGAAAATGTGGGAGTTTCCCAAAATAGGAGACCTCCAATATAGCACCCTAAATAGTAGGATCCTTATTTTTAGGGACCCCCAAATAAGGTACGCCTAATCTTCGGAAACTCCCATGTATTCCAAGGCTTTGCGAAAAGGTCATGGTGTTGTTTGGGGCGTCGGAGTCGGGGTTCAGGGCTCCCTAAACCCTAAACCCTAAATCCGGGGTTGAGGGTTTAGGGTTTTAGGGTTTTAGGGTTTTAGGGTTTTAGGGTTTAGGGTTTTAGGGTTTTAGGGTTTAGGGTTTTAGGGTTTAGGGTTTTAGGGTTTACGGTTTTAGGGTTTTAGGGTTTAGGGTTTTAGGGTTTAGGGTTTTAGGGTTTAGGGTTTACGGTTTTAGGGTTTAGGGTTTAGGGTTTTAGGGTTTAGGGTTTTAGGGTTTAGGGTTTAGGGACAGGGCTAAAGGCTTGCAGGGCATGTCTTCAGGTCTCGACGGAACATGTGTGGGCTCAGTATCCTTAATTAAACCCTATACCCTTCAATCTCTAAACCCTAAAGCCATATTGATCCCTTTTTAAAGATTCCCTTCAAATATCCCGCTAAGAACGCCCCTGTCTAAGAACTCTTCAAAGATCCGTCCCTGTATAGGATCCCTTCAAAGATCGGTGTAAGAACGCCTGTACCGAAACCTGTGAGGCCCTGAACACGAAGACTCCCATATCCCTGCCTTAAGTAAAGACTATTCCTTGATTCAAGTTCGGGATCTAAGGGATTTTGGAGTCTCTGGGAAGCCCAGGCAAGTAAGAAACCCAATAGCCTCAGCTCGTCAGAATAATGTATAGGGATTCCCAGCACTATTTGTCCTTCGTCTGATTTCCAAATTTTGGGGGTTTAATATAGGGGCCTTAATAATTAGAACAGGGTTTTGGGGCCAGTTTGGTTTGGTAATTATCAAGGCCCTTAGATTATTCACGGACATCTGTCGGTCAGAGAAGCGAGTCGAACAAAACCCTTAGATTACTGTACTAGGATACCCAGTAACCTAAGAATACAAAGGCCTCTCTTTTTGGTATTGGGTAACTTTATAAGGAACCTAGGACTACAAAAAGGGAATAAGGGTACTACTAGGCATCCTAGTGTACAGCTCTGAAGCCCAAGTAAGTCCTTGACCGGTCGGAGGCTCCCGTGGCAAGGTGGAGAGCGGCCCGCCTCTGCATCGGGGCTGTTGGGGCTTCTAGGAATTAGGGGGGCTCCTTAAATGGATCCTTCGAGGGATCTTTATAGAGCTCTAGGGATAGTGTTTAAACTCAGGATTCGAGGATTTTAGGGGTTAGGGTTTAGGATTTAGGGTTTTAGGTTTATGTAGGTGTTCAGGGCTTTAGGGTTCAAGGTTTAGTGGGTTTAGGGATCCTGAAAGGTATCCTTGAAGGGAATCTAGAATCCACAAGGGATTTAGGATTCTTCGGGTTTAGGAGTTTCTACAGTAAACTCCATAAATTGGAAACCGGATAAAGGCCAAATCGTGCTGGGATTCTCTATAAAGTGCTCTTAAGAATTGAGGCTATTGGGTTTCCAGCTTTTTGGCTTCTACTGTAGCACTTTCGGGTTAATGGGTTTGGAGCGAAAATTTCAATCCGTTTAAGCGTATAAGGCGTGGACAGGGCATAAGGCTTTAGGATGCTTTAGGGTTCAGCGGTGTTTGGAGATTTGTGGCTATAGGATATAGGGTTTCGGTGAGTTTGTGGACTTCTGGTTTAAACGGCTTGGGGCTTTTGGGGCTTGGGACTCGATGTTGCTTCTTGTTGCTGTAAGCTTGGGGTTGAAGGCTAGTCACTTCTTTGAAATCCGGAGTTTAGTGATTATGGGTTTAGCGATTTTGTCGTAGGCTCCGTTGGTTTATGGCCAGTCCATCTGTGCAACTTGGATCGCTGGTTTTGGATTTTGGTTTCCGGATGTAAAGGGAACTCCAGAAAGTTGGAATATGGATTAATGGTAGGATCCCCTATAATTTACCTTAAAGGGGTTACGATAATGATATTCCAACTTTCTGGCTTCTACTGTAGGGTCAAACCATCGCAGCCAAAGGCCAGAACTGCTCTAAGATGCTTCATTTAAGGTTTGCGGCTTGCGATGCCGACAAACCCAAAACCTTAATTGCAGGGCCTACCGCGTTGAAGCCGAGACCACGAAGGTTCTGTGCTTAGCAACGTGCTCCCCGCTGTTTCGGCCTGCCAGTTTATCCAGTGTTTGTCCGATGTTGGGGATGCCTCAGGAAGTCATGGTGAACACGGTAGCCCAGACCAACATTAAATTAAATGAACCCGAAGAGGATCCATCAAAACCTCAAGCCCTAAACAATACCCTAAACCCAAACCGCTAAAACCCCTACTAAACCCCCCATCCCAAGAACTCTATACCCAAAACCTTTGTCCATCCCTTATTGACCCCCTTCTAGATCCCTTTCAGTAAGCCTTTAAGGACCCTTCTCCATCCCTTATAGAGTTAAGAAACTCATTTAGGATCCCTGTAAGGAGCCCTTTCAGGATCCCTTTAATGAACCACTTTAAGGAACTGTGACCCCAACAAAAATTGCTGTCACCCGACCTGGCATGGGGACCATCATCGGTCGTATGAGTCCTCCCAGGCGGGCAGTGGCCGCTGGGGGCCTGGCCAGATTATGGTTTAGGGCTCAGGGATTAAGGTTTAGGGTTTCAGGGTCTACATAGGGTTTAAGACTTTGGGGATTAAGGTTTTTGGTTTTCAGGGTTTAGGGTTTTAGGGATGAAGGTTTTGGGTTTCGGGGTTTAGGGTTTAAGCTTTAGGGCTTTAGGATTGAGAGCTTCAGGGTTTAGGGGCTTTTAGGGTTCGAGGGCTTTCGGGTTGGAGGCTCCCCCGAAAAGCCCTAAAGCCAGACCGCAGCCCTATTAACAACCCTAAACCCTAAACCCTAAACCCAAAACCCTAAACCCTAAACCCCGGTTTAGGGTTTAGGGTTTAGGGGTAACCAAGAAATGAGATTGAGAAACATACTGACCCTATAAGCTCTAAGCCGTTTACAGGAAACCTCTGAAATATCCTGGACACAGAAGTGCGTACAGGCTGGATTCTTAGAAATCACTTTAAGTTAACATGATGAGGAAGCGGTATTGGCTATTATGGATCGCTATGGTGGTAACAATATCAAACCCTAAAGCTCCAAAACCGTAAACCCTCAAGCCGAAAAACATCAAAACCTAAACCCTATCCTTGAACAGAGCCTAATATGCGGTGGATTGCTGTAGACAGCAGTATTTATACTATGACATACAATCATATACAACGTAAGGGATAATATCTATGATGCACGACTACTGACCCCAATCGGCCTCTTTGGCAGTTGCACGGCCACCTTCAGCTGACGAGGTTTGAGGCGATCGCTTCAACGCTTCGAAGGCTAAGAGCGGGGTCTACAAAGGCTTAGGAAAAAACAAGTAAGGGTCCATGTACTAACAACATGAGTACATGGACCCTGAAGGGGACGGGCTTTCAATTCGTCAGCCATGTTGTCAAGTGATATGAACCCTAAACCCTAAGAGTTTAGGGTTACATAAGGGGTCTAAGAATCCGGAACACTCTCACGTCTTGGTCTCTTTGTCCTTTCAATCAGGCCCCAGCAACTTTAACGATCCTGTGACCTATTTATAGCTTCGAAGTCCTTCATCCTAACACTTGGGAATTCGAACGAATCGAAGGTAGCAGCAGAAATTTAGGAGCTACGACGACTACCTTCTGAGGGAAGCAGAGACAACATGCTTTTCGTTTGGGCAAGGGTACGTAAGCCCGAAACCCTAAACCCACTCTAAGACATCAGCAACCTGAACCCGAGACCCTTAACGAGATGGTCTGCAGGGACTTCGTGCTTTGGCGGGCTATGTGGGTTTACTGAGTGCCGATATCCAAGAAGGACACCGACAGAGAACTGCCGCCCACATGACTCATTCGTAGATAAACCATCTGCCTGGACGAATCCTGTTTTAAATACGGCACATTGAAATTACAAGGTATAGTGTATCTGTAACAAGTATCTTTGGTAGGTTTCAATACTGTACGCAACAGCGTTGTTGTGTTATCGATTTCAATTGCCCCCAAACCACAATGTACTTATGCTTACAGTTCCAAACTATACAGATAAGTTCAAACAAGGGGAATTAAGGGAACATGTTTTTCCGAATCGGTACCTGGTAGTTTTGTGGTGGCTGGTCTACGGGTCCAGAGGCTCACGAGCCGATCGTGGCTTGGGCCCACCTTCCCGCGGGATAAGACTGCGCCGCTGCCAGATTTCAGCATGATCCTGGGAGAGCAAAAGCCCTCGGTTCCCCAAATAACAGCTACCTTAAACTAGCATAACCTACTTTATTGAAGGCTCTTACATAATCCAAACAAACCCTAATATGGAACTTATGGGGAGCCCTACAAAACAGTGGGTTTCGATCGTGTTGGGCCAAGCTAAGGGTTCAGGGTTTGGGGCTCAGGGCCTGGAGATATCGGGGACCGAATACTTGGAACTGAGGGTTCAGGGCTACACGTTGAGGGTTTAGGGTTCAGGGTGTAGGGGAGTTTGGAGTATTTGCAGGCCTTGAGCTGTACCGAAGCTTCGAAGAGATAGAAGACAAAGGCAGCACGTTCTCTCTGGACGGGATTGGGAGGCTGTTTGAGAGCCTTGTGCCCAAACAAAGGAGTCGATGAGGTCTAAGTTTACGGTTAGGTACGGCCCCCATACAGTAAGAGTCTACAATAGGGCTACTATTAAGGTCCTAATATACCTATATTAATGAATATTATTCAACTATTAGTGAGTGGGGGTCGTACCCAAGTCTACGGTATGTTGACGAGGCTCTGCTCAGGGTCGGCGAAGAGGCTTGGGATCTTCTCGACATCCCCCGATTTTGCCAACAAAAGTCTCATGACTCCTGACAGTACTTCACCCTTTGAGGCCTAAACCAAGAACTATCTTGTGAGGGCTCCGAAAAATCTGAGAACAAACTAGTAGGAACACCTTACCATGACAGAGGTGGCTGATGTTCTGAAACTTCCCCTGCAGAGCAGTGCCCTGTGCTCGGCATCCCGACATCCACCCAAAAAAAGGGCCCAGTCGCTGCAACTCGTTCGGAGAGGTAACAATGGGCTTCACGACCAAGGATAGGGGCTGCCTCAGGGTTTTGGGGTTCAGGGTTTAAAGGGGGTGCACCACAGGATTTCGTTGAGGTTGAGAGGCTTTTGGGGTTTCAGGGCTTCGAATTTCACCGAGGGCTACACCCTCGCCCTGCTGCAGCGAGCCGGCTGTTTCTACGTAGGCGATTTCATTACCATATTACCGCGTAGCTGGACAGGGCAGGACTTAGTTGTGTTTACTGCCTGGGGTTCGTGGTTGCAGGGTCTAGCACCTGGCTGTGGCATGCTTCTGAGGACCGTCTGACCTCTAAACCCTACACCCTAACCTCTGTTTTCATTGAACTTTCTGCCATACTCTCGGGACCCAAAAGTCGAAGGTGCACTGTTTCGCGTTGAGATACCCCGTCTTTTGGGCTAGAACATAGAACAATGCATTGCGCAGAAGGATTCCCAAATCAGTTACCGGCTTGTACTGAGGATAGGAGCTACCCTGAACCTCGAATAGAAATTCCATGTCCGAGCCGTGAGTGCGCGACTGCAATGTCTCGGATCCCACCCCCCGCTCCCCATGTAGTGGGCTACTGTCCCTTAAACCCTATAGTTTCACTCCCATAGTACCCTTAACCCTAAACTCCTAAACCCAGTAACTTACTATAGGTAGAGTCGGTGGAGGCTCCTAGCGAAGTGTACAATTCTCAGGAGTCTTCTCTTTGGCGGCCCACGTAGAGTCAGTCCCTCAGGGTTTAGGGCTTTAGGGGTTTAGGGTTCAGGGGTTTAGGGTTTAGGGGATTCGGGTTTAGGGTTTAGGGCTTAGGGTTAAAGGATTTATCAATGAGGTACTTGACACCTTCCTACGCCATGATAAAGAAATCCAAAACCCTTGAAGGAAGTATGAATGGATCCTGCCTACTTACTTGGGAGTTTCCGAAATTTAGGGGGGCCCTAAAATCGTAACCCAAATAGTAGGATCCTTATTATAAGGACCCCCCAAAGTAAGAGACTCCTCATTTTCGGAAACTCCCAGCTAGAGCCCTGGTGACTTGTGGAACTTGTTCGTCCATCGATTCGAAGGTTGGAGCCCTTCAGGGCTGCTGTCGACAGCTCAAGGTGCACTTTAGCCTAAACCCTATAAAACCTACCCAGAGGCCCCAGAGTAGTTCCTTTTGGGATTACCTTATAGAATTCTATATATGAACACCAAAAAGGAACTACTTTGAAGCCTCTGGGTAGACTAAACCATACTAAACCCGTCAACCCCAAACGCCCTAAACCCCTAATTAAACCCTACACTCTAAACCTTCTTAATAGCCGTCGGCAAAGAAGTCTAACTTGCCTAACCCTCAACGGGAACAGTCACATGCCCCGCGCCCAAACATTGCACCTCATGCCTTCTACAACAATCCGATACACGAGATCACCGCCCCTATCTATGCCTTGAGCAAAGGTTCATACTCGGCACAGGGCTGATGTAGGTCACGCTCGCCTGACAAGAAAAGAGCGAAGGACAAAAGGCTGGTCTGGCTTAAGACTATGGTGAGCTGCACAAAAACCGGTAGTTTACATGGCACGCGGATGACTCTATGCATATATACATATACATAAAATATATGTACGTATGTGATATATATATATATATATATATATATATATGTATATGTATATGTGTGTATATGCGTATATGATATATATATATATATATACATCCGTCAGCGAGCGCAGGAAATCTGCAGGGAAACCCTTCTGCACACGACATCAGCTTGTGCTTGCCTGCAACGAAAGGGCTCAAGAGGTTCCTACACAACCAATTCGTGAAGCGAAACTCAGCAGACTACTCGGTAGATGGATGCAACTCACGCTCGTGGCGAAGTCGGCGCCAAAGGTCAAGCTCTGCAGGCTGTTGGGTAGCTTAGTTCCCTCCAAGCTCTGGTTGAACCTGTCCCCGAACGTCAAACTGAGAAGGCTGGGTAGCTGGATGCCCTTCAAACGCTGGTTGAAATCGTTTCCAAATGTCAAAGTCTGCAGCCTGCTGGGTAGTTGGGTGCCCTTCAAGCTCTGGTTGAACTCCCATCCAAAAATCAAACTCTGCAGATCTCTGGGTAGTTGGATTCTCTCCAGGCTCTGGTTGAAGGAACAACCACGTCAAAATCTGCAGTGTGCTGGGGAGTTGGATCCCCTCCAAGCTCCGATTGAAGTCGTCGCGAAAGATCAAAGTCGTCAAGCTGAGGGGTAACGTCATAGCGTTTTAAAGCTCTCGGTTGGATGACCAGGTGAGTGACAGTGATGCTGTTTCGTGCAGTGCAGCTACATCTGTGTCGGACAACTTTTCCTCCGCGAGTAGGTGCTCCCAACTCCTCGCGGCACGACCTGCGCCAAGCCTCCCCGAACCGTGGTATGTGATCTCTTGGTGCTGGACTTGTTGCAGCAGTGGCTGGCCCTGATCGATCACACAGCCACCGGATGTCAGCACGAGTCTCTCTGCAGGCTGAACCACTCTGGCTGCGATGTTTTCCGCTACGTCCCACCCAGTTTCGGCACAGCTAACCACCAGCTCAAAGCTGGAACCTGCCAGGCAATGGACGCTCACGGTCTGCTTGGCCCTGTCCGGACCGGCCTCTGTGGGTTGCGGGACAAGGTAGAACTTGTTGAGAACTGTGGCAAAGCAGCCGCCGCAAAGTGAATTGCTCAAGATGCGCTTCATCTCGTCTCCGGACGCACAGAATTCCCGCGGACCGGCGATTCTAAACCCTACAAACCTTAGGCCCTGAACCCGCCGCAGCATCCGCTCCAGTTGTCCATGCAAGGTTGCGGGACCCGGATGCCATGACTTCTGCAGGCTGCTGTTCAAGGTGGTTGTGTATGTTAAGCTGTACCTTGACCCGGAATAACCTGCCTTTCTAAGGACATATATAAGGAAATGATAATAAGGACACACAACTTTCCAGAATCATTTGAGATATCGATTCTTTCGGGTTTCAGAAGACTTCGTTCGAAAGGTCCAAATAATTACGGTGTACCAACATGGCATAATCTCTTGAGGTTATTACAATACATCAGATATAGCACACCTTGAATTTCCTAGTTTCAGTTTTGAAGCATCTATGCTACTGATGCCCCAGCACAGCTTTCTGGCAATTGCTGTAGAGCTGAATTTGGAAGTCGCGGCTTTGAGCTTCAGAATCGTAGGCCCTACTGCCCTAAATCCAATCCTAAACCCTACACCCTAAACCCGTTATAGACCCGTTCTGGAACCCTAAACCCTAAAGCCTCAACTCGATAAAAGAACCCCAAAGCATGCAAACCCTGCCTTCTGCACCTTGGCCTCCTTCTGCCAGCGCTTGGCCGCCGCGCAAAGCAGCGCTGCGATGGCGGCGCCGTGGCCGACGCCCATGACGTTGAGGAGCCTCCCGGTGTGGGTTTTTGGGGTTTGTATAGGTGGGGATTAAGGGTCAAGGCTTAGGGCTTTAAGTTCCGGGTTTAAAGTTTTGAGGGTTTAAAGTTCCGGGTTTAAAGTTCAGGGTTTGGGGTTTCTAGGGTTTCATTGAAGCTTGGGGCTGCAGTCTGGAGGAGTTCGGGGTTTAGGGTTTAGGGGGTTGAGGGCTTAAGGGTTTTGGGGGTTTAGGGGTTTGCAGTTTTCTGATGCAGCCTTGTCCCAACCTCCTAAACTTTATTCCCGAACCAGCCCGAGTCTGAACAGAACTATACCGACACGCCCGAAACCCTAAATCCCTGGACACCAAACCCTAAACGGAAGCCCAATGCCGATGCAAAACACCCTAAGCCTTTTGCACTCAACTTCGAGCCGGGAACCCTAAACCCCTAAACCGCCTAAACCCGTTTTCTTCCGTAATACCAACTAAGCCCCTAAACCCTCAACCCCTACACCCCAGAGAGCGTTCGAACGAAATCCGCATGCCTTAAGCCTACAAGCCCCTTTAGGAAACCTCAAACATCCCCCAAATCACCCAAACCCCTAAAGCCTAAAACCGGTTTAGGGTTTAGGGTTTAGGGTTTAAGGTTTAAGGTTTAGGGCCGCAAACACTAAACCCCCCAGCCGCTAAGCCATCCTGAACACTCAGCCCCAGACAAAAAGCAGCATTGCTCAACTACTGAAAACCCTAAATGCCCCAAAACACCCTAAAACCTGGATCCCGATACCCGAATTACTAACCCTAAACCCTATAAGCCCTAAACCCTGAACCCTAACTACTGGAAACCTGACCCCCAAAAATACTGAACCTAAGGGTCCATGTACCCATTATAGAGATTCATGGGCCCCAAAGTACCCAAATAGGAACTACATTAAGGCCAAAGTATATACTATATGAGTACATGGACCCTTATAGTGACTGAACCCCGGCCTGGGTTGCATGAAAGCCTCATACGTACCCAGCTCCTTCGTCTTCACATCAAGGAGCTCGTCAATGCCCCTGGGAGTTAAAGGGCTCCTTAAAGGGGGATCTATAGGGTTCCTTAAAGGGATCTATAGGGTTTATAGGGCTTTTTAGGGGACCCAAGAGTAACCCAGGCCTAAAAAGGATGCCCTTTTTGGTTTAAAGGGGCTTATAAGGGAACCTGAACCCTAAACAAGGGAATAAGGGCCTACTCTGGGTCCTAGGTTCATTAAGTCTCAAAGGGGGGGCTGTAGGGTAGCGTCTCGAATTTAGGGTACCTTGGAATATTCCGTAGCTCATATTAGGGATCCTACTATCACTATCTTTTAAGGTATCTCCCTGACTTTAAAGGAATATCGGGGGATATCTGGATAAGTCTGTTGAAACCGGGGAAAAATGTAGGACCAGGGCGTGGATAACACTTCATTCATCGCACAAGGCTTCTCCTGAATGCAAACCCTCACGCCCCAAAAGCCAAACCCCTACGAAACCTTAGGAACCTGACGCCCTAGGCCCTAAAACCCCCTAGGCATGAAGCCTAGCAACTCCGTGAAATCCTGTCAAAACTCTGGCTACCCAACGGTCAAACCCCTAGAACCCCTGAGCCCTACAACCCCTAAACCCCACAACCTCTAGGCACTAAGCCTAACACAACCCTGCAACCCTAAAGCTCAGACTATATACTCTATAGCATACACACACACACACACACACTCTCTCTCTCTCTCTCTCTCTATATATATATATATACACATATGGTACATACAACATACTACTCCAAAAAGCTGCGCCTGACTTCGGAGAATGGCTTGGAATACTTGTTGAAGGACTCAAGGACCTGCCCCGAAGCAGCTTGGAATTCGTGGGCTGTTGGCTAAACGTATCACAAGCGGATCTGCTAGGATTTCGGGTCTAGGAATTTTGGGGCTAAGGTGGTTTTAGGGTTTAGGGCTTTATGGTCTCTGAGGGTCTTCTGGCAAAGAGGTCTGGTCTCGTTGAAACGCCGGCAGCATCTGGAAGCACCCTCTAGCTGAGTTCGGGCTACCCGAACACCCATCGGTAAACCCCCTGACCTCCAAAAGCACGACAGACCCTGAAAACCTCCCCATGAACTACAGCATGCACCATCCCCAATCCCTAAAACCTGAAACCCTACACCCCCCAACCCTAAACCCTAAACCCCTATAAACCCCTAAACCCCTAAACCCCTGAACCCTAAACCCTGAATACCCTAAATCCCCAGCATCCCCAGCCCTGGCGCCGTCATGTCCATCTTCCACTTCCAGTCCCAGTAGAGTGGGCACAGCAACCTGGAAAAGACGGCTTCGGGCATAGCCAGGGGGTTAAAGGGGTGGAGGGCAAAGGGTATAGCCAGGCAGTTAAGGGGGTGGAGGGCAAAGGGCAAGTAGAGTAAGTAGAGTGTAGATTTCCAGAATCAGTTCCTGCTACTTCCACGATCGTGACTACGAATAGTTGTCGCCACGAAGCTACGAAGCTGCGACTGTTTATCTATGGGTTTAGGATGCTTCAGGCTTTCCCGGCTTCAGCTTTGGATTCTTACTGTATTTTCTGTTGTGTAGCCGTTCATTTATGTAAGAAAGATTAAAAACTGCGTGTGGCTCATGTATGCATGCGTGAGAATCTACATGTTGATTATCTGTAAGCACGTACGTGAGAATGAATACAGCCAGTAAGTACTCTGCAAATCCCAAACCCTGAGTCTTAAGTCGCAAAACAAGATGCAAACGGCTTGCAAACAAAACCACAACTCATTGGTTGACTATTGTTAAGGAGTATTCCGTAATGACCAAAATTTGGCCACTGGCAATATACCTATACTCTCCAGTGAAGTTCCTTTCGTGGGCTAGCGTCTAAGATGACACACGTAAACTTGGTTTAACCCAATGAAGGAACTACCATGGAGGCTACAAGCCCTCAACTCAAGAGTACGAGGGCTCTCTTGGTTGCCTCTACGGCTGGAGCACACACTCTGTTCTTCAGCAAGCCCGCCAAAAACAGTTCAAAGTTTCGATGACGAGCATGCATAATGTTAGTAGCATTATCTCTCTCTCTCACTCTCTCTCTCTCTCTCTCTCTCTCTCTCTCTCTCTCTCTCTCTATGTATATATATATATATATATGTATATGAGGCCAAAACTTTCAAAGCTCTCCCATTGGCTATATAAGGACACGCAGCTGCAGCTTCCAAAAGAAGCGCTGCTTCGGTGTCGCGATGCTCCTGGGCACAACTCGCTCCAGCACACCGGCCGTTTTTCGACGGAACTTGAGGGTTCAGGGCGTAGAATTCTTGGGACTTAAGACTTTCACTCGAAACCCTGAGCCATAAAGGTTGGAAGTTACGGTGTAGGGTGAAAGCTTTCAGGGTTTAAGTTTAGGGTTCTGCTGAAGCCCGGAACCTTAGGAGGCAGTGAAGGCTTTGCGACCACCTAAAACCTTAAAGTCTACAACCCTACAACTCTGCAGCCTAAGCCACAGTTTATTGAAACAAGACCCTGTATGCTTCAAGATACTTAAGCCCATAGCATGCCACAGACTCAATACAAGTGCTTGGGGCTCAAGGTTTAGCGGCTTGGGGTTATTGGCTGGTTTGGGGTTTAAGTTCAAGGTTCAGGGAACATGAGCTTGAGAAGGACCTGGTTTTGTTTTGTGGGCGTAACGACTCTATATAATATAAATAAAGGTAGTCAGCATTCGGTTTTGTCTCGTGGGTTTAAATGATACTCTTGTCCGTGATTTCCCCCCCTCCCCCCGATGTGGCTGCAAGGACGGGGTTTCGACTTTGCAGCGAAATGACACATCGACAAGCCTTAGGTCCAACGTCCCTCCGTGAACAGGAACTGGAAACCCAAAGGGTCCGAGTAATAGTATAGTTTTAGGGTTTAGGGTTGAGGGGTCTAGGGTTTAGGGTTTACAGGGTTTAGGGTTTAGGGTTCTCAGTATAGTGTATACTCCTGAGGCCCAGATACCCCCTAAGAGCCGACTATAATGGGTGCATGGACCCTTTGGGAAAGAGAAACACATGTTCCAGGTGAAGCTAGGTGCAACTCCTGAGGTCACAAACCCAGAACTGAGAAACCTAAGTGAAGCCGGGGATCAACATCAACTGCTCCCCGGATGCAACCAAAGCCTGGACTGGTAAGCTGGGTCATATCCGTTGACTTGGCCTGGAGAAGACCCTGCCGGTTCATCGCTCGCACGGTTGAGGATTGAGGTTTTGGGTTCGGGATGGTTTGGGGTTTAGGGTTTTTGGGCACTTGATACAACCGAGTAACCGTAACTAAAGTCTACCCAAACCGCAGTAGTAGGATGTTGTGCCCTGAGCTTACACGCACTTGCAACACAGCCTTTGAATGGATTGGCACATGTAGGGTAAGCACATGTCGGACTGAATCTCAGAACCCATCCAGCCTCCTCCGCATAGCTGTCTTGATCTGGCTGGGGCTGATACAGCTCAAACGCCAGGTTTGCGAACTCCTGGGGCCGATATACGGCGTGAATCAGCAGACTCTGCAGACCCTAAACGCTATATCCTAACTCCCATAGTCTGCACAGTATACCCATAGGCCCCATCGTCATATTTAGAACCCTACAAGGTAATCCCAAAAAGGAACTACTATGGGGCCTATGGGTATTGACATGATCTCTGTATTGCTTTCTTCACCGGACGAGGACGCGACGTAGGCTGATCTGATTTTGGGATTCGTGCTTACGCAGACAGCGCGTCAACAAACACATCCAGCTACCGAATAGAATCGTGTTTGGGGCCAGGGAGAAGTGTAGAGTTTAGTTTTGGTACATGGGGGGTTGTCGAAATTATGGTCCCTTTTTGGGTACCCTAATTATTAGATGCCGTAGTATAGTAAGGCCCCAAAAAAGAACCCTAATTTTGACAACCACCCACATATGAGCCTATCATATCATCTTTGCAAGCTGAAGGCGTGATCGGGTTGAGATGAGCTGGCAGCCCTCTACTCTCAGAGATGTCCAGCCCAGCCCATCCCTCAACAAATTCAGATTGCAACTCTGGCCAGAAATAACAAGCTGGTCGGCAGTTCGCTTAGATTCCCTTAGCCCGAAAGAGACTCGTGCTGGTGCGTCATCAGGATGCACCAGGTCAATCATTAAAGCAACAGCCTTTCTTGCAGATCAGGCTTATGCATGTTGTCGCACCTACATTTCATGCATGGTTGCTCCTTCTCGGAACTCCTCGTCATCATCATCACCGACCACAACATCAGCATCGTCATCATGAAGGCATCTTGAATCGATTGCAAGTCAAACACGGTTTAAGTAGGGGTCTGCAGTGCAAAGGTGCTCGATGTGCTTCTGATGATTTGGGAGCATCCGAAACCTAGGGGTACCTTCTTTGGGGGTCCTTACAGTAAGGACCTGCTATTCCTAGACACCCCAACTACCCTCCATTATACCCCAAATACCCACCATTAAGGACCATAAGGGCTCCATTAAAGGGCCATTGGGGGGGTCCTGGTTTAGGGCATTATATTGGGATCCCCGATTTTTGGAAACTCCCATTTGGGGACCTGCTGCCAGAGGCACGCGGAGACGTTTGTCCTCCGGAACGGTCGGCTTTTGCTTCAGCCAAGCTTTGACAAAGAGCTCCTCCCCCTTTCTGACCTGACATCTTCGGAGGGACAGGTTGTTTCGGGCTTAGGGCTTAGGGGTTTGGGGATTAAGGTTTAGGGTTCCGGAATGATGGTTTAGGGTTTAGGGGGTGGGCCTTGGTTTCGGGTTCGGGATTTATGGGTTTCCCATATAGCCAACTATCCTGAACTCTCCCGCAGCCGTTCCTGTTTGTAACCGACACTGAAAGCGGCAGCCCTCCAAACTACACGAAACAAACACTGTAAGCCCCTCGAAGCGGGGATTAACAGCCCCGAAACCCACCCCAAGCAGGATAAAGCACGACACGAAGGCATGACTCTCTGCTTGCATGGGGTTTGTTGCATCCCCAAAATGCGGAACCCTCTAAATAGTAGGATCCTTATTATAAGGACCCTGCAACAACACGCAAACAAATCCTGCCAAGTCCAAGTGCTGCAGAAGAAGCCTGCCTGGACCCCGGTAGCAAGTGGTCAGGAAACATTGGTGCTGCGCATGTATGCAGAGGCCAAGCATTCCTGGCAACCTTCAGCACAATATTTCTGTCTCATAGCGATGATATTTGCCTGTCACCCATGTGCGTGTGTGTGTGTGTGTGTGTCTGCATACCCTCACAAAACAACACTCTGCACAGCATGCTCCCCTCTCCGGGCCAAGCCGCCGTCCCTTTGACGGTGAAGCTGAGCTCGGCAGTCACAAAGCCAGGATATCCCGCAGACCAGAGCGCAAAGCCAGTCAAGCTATCCTGCTTCGACTTCAAGCGAATATTGGGGTCGGGTTTCAGGAGCAATGCTCGGAGAATGGGCTTTAGGGGGTGTTGAGGGTTTAGGGTTTGGCTTTGTTTAGTCTTAAGGTGAGTGGAACTAATTCTATGGAAAGCCGGCTCCAGTCGAGCATTTGACCCCCCCTCCGCCCCCCATGCCCACACATAGCCCAAGAGCACCGAAGTCCACCCTCCCCGTTGCATGCGCAGGCTTCCTCTAGTCTAGCATCCGACAAGGTCTCCTCCGTAGCCGAGCCCATTAGCCCCTCCACCTATCTCGCAAGAAAGGGTGAGCCTATGTAAAACAAATGCTCAGAAGCATCCCAGCCCCACCTCCCTCCCTCCCTCCCTGATACCACCACCAAACCCAGGTGCCCTAACTAGAGGCCCTAGATGATAATAAACTAAACAATGAAATTCAAACACAGGCCTTATGTAAGTTGTTTGGGTTCCCCGGCCCTAGCGATGAACCCTGAGAAGCCATAAATTAAATTTGTAATGCCATAGCCAGGCATCGAGTAGCAGAGCCACGGCGCTCTCTTCCATGAGTCCAGTTTCTGCAAGCAGGGGTGCCTCCGGGAGTAGGATTTAAATGATCTGAAAACCTGGTTGAGATATTTCTGACTTGTAGAGATGTAAATATTTCCCGGACTTACCCAACCAAGTCACACGACGTGCAATGTCTGAAGTCCTCTGCTTGCTCTAGTTCAAGATCTTCTGAAGGCATGGACTTGTTTGCGCATATGAATGTAGTAGCTAGTTAGCAAACCACGTGGAGGTTGGACCACGGACAGTCACCGAACATTGACTGGAACATTGCTACCTTTTGATATGACTTTGACTTTAACATGGACATACTAGGTCAACGTGCACCAACGATCCGTTCCGGCTTCGAGTTTTCGAAAGCTGACACTTCGGAAGCAAAAATCAGGCAGTTTCGGACCTTAACAGTCCCTGGGTGTGTGTGGGGAGGGTGCATAAATCCGTTTTAAGGTCGCGCATCGAATTTCTGAAGAGTCACAGAAATCTGAGAATTACATGGTCGTCTCAATCTGCCTAACGTTCAGAACCCTACCAACTGATACGAGCCAAGGAGTTTACATGCTGCATGCCGCGACAGACTCTATCTTTGACCCCGTCAACTGTAGGCCAATATAGGCCATAACCCTCAAACCAGCTGGGTTTGGAACCGTTGGTGGGCCTTGGAGAACCGGGTGTGGCATTCCCTCGACTTCTCAGATGGGAAGCCGAGCGAAAAACAAACAACCCCTAATCACAGAACGGTGAATCATAATCTACGGCCCCAAGTCCTCTTGACACTTCCAGACCCCATACTGATGTCTACATAAGATTGAAAGCGAAAGTCCATCATCCGCACAACCTGAGCCATTAACTTGGTCTTGGACGAATGAAAGAAGTCAAGCAGGTCAATTCGAACATCCTCAAATCAAAGCTCACCGCCAACCAGCACTAAAACTACAGGGTCCAGGACACAGTATAGTATATAATTTGGCCCCAGATACCTCCCAAAAGCCTACTACAATGGTACATGGACCCTTTGGGGAACATGACAAGGATCAGGCATCCAAACTCAATCTCTCTGGGTAGCACTCCAACCTCCATCCCCCGCTCCGCCGCCCTTCTGCCCCTGCCCCAGCCCCACCCAAGAGCTTAGCCACAACACATCCAAAGCTTTGTTCAGGAGGACGTAGAGCTTAGAGATGAAGGTCGTCGAGCTCGTTCGGGACGTAATTAGCAACAGGGTGGAAGCAAAGAGGGTGAAGGGTCGAAGCTGGTAGCTCGAAAGTCGGCGCGAAGAATCCCAGCACTGGGTTGGAAGCCATAAAAAGCCTTTGCGCCCAATGCCCCAGAGGAACTCTTAAGATTAAGTGTTGGAATTGTGCACGACGTTTATTACACCAAAATCAAACATCAAGTCCGAAACCTTAAACTAAACCACCTCAAACATGTTAAGTAATTACTTCCGCCACTATTGAAGAAACCTGCCTCGGCAGTGATCTGCCCTCGCAGCTCACCGTCGCTGCTGACATGGTGGCATTTGAAGTTCCTTCCAGGGTCTACGATTTCGGGTTTAGGATGTGGGGCTGTTGTTATTCCCATACAATAAGATGACTGTGACCACTGATACTACTTGCATCTGTATCTTCGGTATAACTTTCGAGGCATGAGTACTGCTACCGTTTCAATGGGATGGGGTAGAAAGGAACTCCAGCAAAATCTGACCACTGAGCCCGAGACTGCCAAAACACCGGGATTCTGGTTGGCTGGTGGGCTCTTGGCTGGATCGTTATACTTAAAGACTCAAAGAACTCTTGTGGATCACCTATGCGAAACCTCATAGAACTGGAACTCCTACAAAACTGATATAGTTCCCGTTCGGGGTTGGGGTTTCGGGCCTTGGGTCAAGGCTTTGGGGCAGGGAGGCAAGAAGGATGACTGTGAAGGGGTTTAGGGTTTAGGGTTTATAGGGTTTAGGATTTAGGGTTGAGGGTTGGGTGTATCTGGCAATGAAATGGGACAGGACTTTCAATAACTAGGTACTACCATCTTGTGAGGAACCGCTAGTTGAATCTCAAGCGCAGCTGGAGTGCCGAATGAGACCATCAAAGCACGGCGTGATGTGCAGGAAAATGCCGAGCTTTCGTGGGGCATCGCTCGCACGCCAGGATGCAAAAAGCTTCGGGGCATCCACACAAAACCTTGATCGTGGGCGAATCGCTTGAAGTGTTAAGAGCTTTCCTAGATTTAAGACGTTCACAAGCCCGTGGTCCTGGGCATTCTGGCTTATTGGGTTGTTTTTTTGTGTTTGCCCGGTTTTTCTTTAGCGTGTCGGGTTCTTGTTTTTTTGTTGAGGCTTGTCGGGTTCTGGGTTCAATATAAGGGCCTTAATGATTGGGGCCATTATACAATAAAGAACCCACCCCAGAATAGGCTTTGGGGCCATCATATTACACATCATATTACAATTACAATAAAGAACACACCCCACCCCCCAAAAAAAAAGTATTAAGGCCCCTAGATTATAGTACCCTTATAGATCCCTTATAGTAACCCTTATAGACCCCTTTAAAGGAACCCCATTGTAACTATTAAGGCCCAAAATATTCGGAGGCCTCAAAAGGTGGGATGAAGGTGGGTAGGATCAAGGATCGCTTATATAAGGACTCTCATTTGGGAATATCCCTCCTACCTTCATCCCACCTTTTGAGGCCTCCGAAAATACTAAACCCTAAACCTGGAACCCTAAACCTTAAACCCTAAACCTTAAACCCTAAACCTGGAACCCTAAACCTTAAACCCTAAACCTTAAACCCTAAACCTTAAACCTTAAAGTCCTGCGGCCCCCGGGGTTTTGGGGGAAAAATGGTGCCCAATCGCCATGGTACCCAAGCTCGGAACAGCGACTCCCCCAAAACTATACCACACTAAACCCTATGTTATAAAGCCTAATTAAACCCTATAGAGTTTAGGGTTTAGGGATTTGGGGTTTAGGGGTTGAGGGTTTAGGGGTTTAGGGTTTAGGGGTTTAGGGTTTAGGGTTAAACTGACCTAAAAGGTCCATGTACCATCATAGTGGGCTCTTGGGAGGTATCTGGGTGCCCAGAGTGTATACTATACTGTTACTTGGAATGTTTGGGCAAGGCAAATTGAGTCAGAGTGAGCTCTGGAAGTAGCTGTAGTAGATGGCCGAAAACCTGAAATCGGAAAAGTTGAACTCAAGCGCACTTCGCTATGCATTCTGGCGTGGTTTGGGACCTTGAGGTATCACAACCTATGTGAATCATACGGGCTATAGAAGAAAGCTCTATGCCATGCTCGAGGCATGGGGGGCAGCAAAGAATCGACACAATGGGGAACGACGTCCACCCCTATCGTCTCAGAAACCTACACGCAAAGAGAACCAACACGACAACCCTGCTCTTATGTTGAGGACCCTGCGAATCGTTTAGGTTTTGGGGTTGTCTTCAACAGTTGCAGGCCGGGCGCCAGAATATCGCCAAGCAGAAGGTCAACACAGCACAAGCGATTGCAAGAGTCGACAGCGCATCCATCCCAGCTGATGGGGGGGGGTCTAGGGCTTCGGGCTCATGGCTACAACGAGATCCATGTGGGCTTCTGAGAAGTTGGACTTTCGTTGAATGCGCATGCCATCCTCCGTTTTTTGGTATTGGTAGGGCTCCCCACCAAGCGAGGCTTTGCCGCGAAATTGTTCTTGTTACGATGCTGCTGCTGATGGTGGGGTGCTTAGCTACTACTGCTCTCACAACTGTGATGTCATCGAGCTGTTGGCTTGGGCGTTACGATTTGCGTAGATCCTGGTCATGTACATTTGCAGCCGCTGTCGCGTCGACATGCATGATTAGTCAGAAGGTTCGGGCACCTTCAACATTTTTTCCTTGGGAAGGGGAGGGGGACTGTGACCATGCCTGTGAACTCGATAAGGAGTACTCATATGTCAGGACCCCTATGCTGAGAACGCCGTCTCATGGGATTTCCTTAGGACCTTGGGTCTCAAGAGCTGAACGCCTTGAACCCGAGCATGCGCACAGACTTCTAGGGGTCGTGTTCATGAAACTGCACTGTGGGTAATATAGCATACCGGGGGGTGTTATTATCGCATGGCTTGCAGCTACCAAAACAAAGGGACACTAGTGATGAGATCAGAGCCTTGCGTGCCAATATCGAGGGGCAGTTCAACGGGGATTTCATGGGGCATTTTTCGAAGTCGGGGTAGGGAATTATGCTTAGACTAGGGTTTGGGGTTCAGGGTCTGGGGTTTAGGGGGTCGGTTGGCGGCTTGGGAATGCACACAAGATTTTCGTCGGTGCTGCGGTAAACTGAGGGGCACCCCAAGGGGGGGAAGAGTCTGACGGGCCAGAGCTGCAACTTATACCTAATTAGGTTTTGCTAAAACGCGGCCCTTGCCCGGTCAAACTGTTCCCCGTGTGGCCCTGATTAATGCCGGTTGCTGAGGCTCCGATGCTGCCGCTACTCCTTGAAAGCCCACGTTCATCCAGGTCAGTCCCAATGCCATTTGGGAGTATCCGAAAATAGGACACCCTTATTTTGGGGTCCTTATAATAAGGATCCTGCTATTTAGGGTACTATACCAGGGTCACCTATTTTCGGAAACTCCCATTTGCCATAACAGCGCTAATGCTTTCAAGGCCTCCAAGGCAACCCGCAGGGTATGCCGCATACTATAAATCTGCCAGAATAACCTAGTGTACGATATTCGGAAGTGGGGCTGTCGGTTGCAAACCCACTCAAAGGCTCCAAATTCCACATAATTTATCGGAAAAGCAGTAGAGTTTAGGGTTTAGAATTTGGCCTTATAGGCTTTATAGGGTTTAGGATGTGGGTTGCTTAGGGTATAGGGGTTAGGGGGTTGAATAGGCCCTTGATTTGCCACGCGCCACAACGGCCCGAAACCATGTCTCAACTTACACATGCGCCCCAAGCCCGGTACCTCCGAACTGCAAGAACAACAAAGTGCACCTACACCAAAACTTGCACAAACGATAAGCCGTAAGGAATGCTGTGGGCGTTTTTTCAGGCTTCGATCTATACCTGCATCCTAAACCACTCCCTTCAGCTTTCCAGCAGCTGAGCCAACGGCCCATGAGATGCTTGACAAATTGCGGCCGCCAAACTCCTGCATGACAAGCTTCCCCAACCCCAAACTGCCACTTGAACTCACTGTCATAAGAACAGTATGTAAGTACGTATATATATATATATATACATTTGGGTGGTTGTCAGGATTATGGTCCCTTTTTGGGTCCCCAATATAGTACGGCACCTAATAGTACGTTAAGGTACCCAAAAAAGGGCCCTAATTTTGATAACTACCCATATATTTTTCTTCTAATGCGAGCATATGTGCAAAATCACCACAATAATGATAGTGGCAATAGCAATAGCACCTCCAGCCCCAAACCTATCCAAACTGCAGGTTGCGACTGAGTTGTGCGCCTCATCCTGAGAACGGTGGGCATTTGGATCCGCAGGCAAGGTGACGAATGGGAGTTAGGATTAGGGGGACCCTTGGGGATATAGACCCTCTCAATGACAAGGCCCCTTTTAAGAGAGCCAGAAGTAGGGTTCAGAAGGGGTACCCTTTAACGGGTCTCCCTAATAATACTACCTAACGAAGACAGAGTATCGAATCAGTAATGGGGTCAGCAAGGTCTTTGCGATGCCATGGAGACGTACTGACTCGAAAAGGCTCGAGTTATACCCCGTAAACCACAAGCCCTTAGTCTACGGCACGATTCGCGTGAGTGATGCGGCCTAATTGAATGGATTTGCGCTTGCTGAGAAGATGGCATATGGGAGCTGTTCTAGACGTGTCCCCATCTGGGGTCCTGATTGAGACAGCTACCACTTATGACGACGCAACCATACTTTCAGACACTCACATGGGAGTTTCCGAGAATTAGGGGTACCTTATTTTGGGATCCTCATGATAGGGATCCTACTGTTTGGGGTGCTATATTAGGGTCCCCTATTTTCGGTAACTCCCACATAGAGAGGCCACGGGCTGAAACAAAGCACCACGTCTGCTCCTGAACAAACACGAAAACCCTTAGCGGCGATCAGGGGTGGGGATTCGAGGTTCATGGCTCTACATTAGAAGCTGCCCCCACCCTGTAATAGTGACTATAAGGATTTTTTTAGGGCCCTATTATATTCCTATAATACCACTATTACAGGGTGGGGGCCCCTCCTAAGCTCTACATATAGTCTTTCTCTTTGGTCTAGCCAAGTATATATTGAGGATCCCATGAGGTAACCCCAAGAAGGAACTACGATGGAGACTGTAGGCAAAATCAAAACCCTTTTCATGCCCTCGAGACGAGGAAGGACAATCACCCAGGCAATGCAAAAATCAATGCCTTACCCTAGGGTCCGAGTACCTCACACTCATGCTGTCCCCAACATGCTAACCAGCAAACCTAACCTTAACCCCGAAAAAACCTTCCTTTTCAGGACGTATATAAGGAAATCATAATAAGGAACCCTAAAATGGTAGGTTATTCAGGGTTAAGGAATAACCTAGAAGCATGAACCCAAGCTTTGTTGGATGCGACCTTCAGGGTGATTGCGGAAGCCAAACTCATGGAGTCTGTTGGGACATGCATCTTCTTCTTCTAAACTAAACCGGAGGTTTAGGGTCTGATGAGGTGCATTTCTTAGGTTCTGCCCCCTTACAGAAAGAGTCTATAATAGGGCTACTATTAAGGTACTAACACCCTGAAACCCTGAAACCTTGAAGCCCTGAAGCTGAAATTCCGAAACCCTGGCTCCCTTGAGCCCTCAAGGCCTAAGGCCATAAACCCCAAAACCCTAACCCTCCCTCAACCCCAAAGCGCACCCCAAAAACCCTAACCCCCCTTAACCCCAAAGCGCTAAAGCCTTAAACCCCAAAGCCCTAAACCCTGACCGCCTTGACACTTGAGCCCTAAACCCTTAAATCCCTAAACCCCTAAACCCTAAACCTTAACGGGATCAGAGCCCGGAAGCAGGCCATGCACAACAAAGGGGGCCTGCAGCTTCCTGGTCGACTCGGAGGCCAATGCCTTAGCCGTTTACTGTTTTTTTATGGCGGACTTGCTTGAACCTGGTTTTTTTTTAAAGTGCAACGGACTTTTGATGATCTCGTTTAGGGTTTAGGGGTTTTGGGGGTTTAGGGTATCGGTGCGCGCGCCAAATTCTGACTGTACAAGGCCCTGCAAGAGAGAAGGAGTGCTGCTCCCCTCTCAGACTGGGCCGCTTAGATGTCACCGCTATCGGTACGCAGAAGGAATCATGTAGTCCGATGTAAACCCTGAAATTGCCGTTTACATTGCGAAACTGGTCCTAATTCGTCATGCAACGTTGCTTGCCCCAAAATCCGAAGAACTTCTGAGCCTGAGATCCTACAGCCCTAAAGCTTATAGATATTTAATTATGTACATATATATAGAGAGAGAGGGAGAGAGAGTTATAACATTGTATAATGTGACCTACTATCATCTTCTACAAATTGCATCCTTCCGTGGGTGGACACCCTAAGATACCAAACCCGGTATAAGATCACGAGAAGCAAAGCCTGGTGAATCCCAAACCCTCCTTGCTGTCCAAAGTTTCGTCGTAACCCCAACATATAGTATTACCCAAAGAGTTGGACCATTGCATTCCTCATGCCATTATGGTAAACTACAAGGGATCCGAGCACCAATCATCCTAAACCCATGTTCCAACTTTCTGGGGTTGGCTGTAGCTGGCCGAAAACAGGGTTCGGGATCCCTGGGATGAAATCCGCAGCCTCGCTTCGTGCTGCCAGGAAGCCGCAAGAAAAGGACGACGCTCGGTGTAGAGAAGCTTCGCCAGGGCCCATGCGGATATGGCCAAGTCCTGCTGAGTACTTGGCAACAACACAGTGAGAAACAGGTATTGAGAACAGCGACAATCGTCGTCAATGGCAATGAAAATACGAGAATGACAAGTGATCGCATCTTCCGGGGGCGATTTTTACAAGGAGCCACTGGTGATCACACAGGTGAGGGCGCTCGTGAAATCACGACGAAACACCCCTAATCAAACATACGACTACTTTCAGTAACCCGGCTCTGACGACTTAGCCTCTGCACAACTTGCCAGATATACATCGAAAAACTAGAAGTCCGAGAATCTCAGACCGCAAAGCCCTGGAGTCCTACAGCAATCCCAAGGACTAGGTACCGTATGGGGGATACTACTTCCAAAATCGGGAAATCATTGCAATGATTCCTGATGTAGAAACCCTGCATGCTACTATTTAGCTAGTTAGGAACACTTGGGAACCTGCACCCTAAACCCCGAAACCCTAAAGCCTCAAGGCCCTCCAAAAACCGACAAGAGGGCGGCCTGCACGCCGAACTCGGAGAGTTTCTCCATCGACGCCCTGTTTGGGCTCTCACGGACTAAGGGCTTAGGGTTTCTAGGGCTTTAGGGTTTAGGCAAACTGAGGGTCTTGGGTTGACAGGGCTTCGGGCTTACGGGCTAAAGGAAGATGAAGGTTTTAATG